GACCCTTGTTTATGCCCTGAGGTCATCTTAGGTCACGAATGGTATCTAACAGTTTTTCGCAAATAACTTTTGATAGAGGCGTGCTAGAGCGATGAAAACGCCTTAGATGTGTTCAGCTCGACGATACGGATCGACTGATATGCAACATGACCCTTTCCGGTCAAGTCATGACCTTGACCTGAGGTCAAGTTTTCAAGTTGACCTTTCAAGGTCAAGTTATAGTTCATTCGATGCGTCTTGACGAGAGGAACACGATGCCGGTAAAAGTAAGGTCGTACAAGGTCTGGGTCAAAAGTTATTGCAGAAAAACTGTTTCCGAAAAAATCGGCTATTTTTGCAGTTTTTGTCCCCTGCAGGCAAAACCGTTGACGTTAGGTCAAATCTGAGAGAATTACTCAGAAAGAGCGTTAATAGGGCTATCGAATGCGCTTTTCCGCGGCGCTGTAGCTCTATTGGTTCCCGAGTTATGCGTTAGCTTCTTGGAAATTTTCGACATTCGACCTGGAAATCGGCGAAATTTTGCCTTGAATGACCTCTGGTGACCTGACCTTTGACCTGACCAAAAAATTGACCGAAGTGATTTCGTCATTATTTTTGACGCTCTTTCGAACGCCGCCTTCCGCGTATCGCTACGTGGCCCAGGAGCCGAGTTACAAGGGGGGGGGGGTGTTCAAACACCCCCCCCCCCCAGCAGGGCGTGGAAATCCAGGACCCCCAGCCGGGCGCGGATTTCGTTTTGAATTTGCTGTTGGGGTAATACGAATACTTTATTGTGGGGCAAAGCGCCCATCATGGGCCAATGGGAGTTATACAGCACGGGTTATTGCGAGCATTTTGGGCTCAAAGTGAGTGGCGGGATATGTTTCTAATGCTCAAGATTCTTATAAAATATGCAATTTTCTGGTTAGGATCGTCTAGAACGATTTAGGTATTCGCGAGATCTGATCTTTGCTCACCAGGGCAGTGACAGGCGTTGACTGAATAAGGACTGGGGCGGCGACAGCAGTGTTTAAGGTGTTTTTAATAATGCCATCTGTCGAGTTGAGGTCTAATGAAATGAGGAATGGATGAACACTACATTATTTTGTCAGAGTATCAAAATTGTGATGAAACATTCAGGACTGGGCGTTATGCCCCACGGGTGGGGCAAAACGCCCGATCTGTAGTCCTCTCAAATCGGACGGCGTATCTCAAATACTGTGCATGCCACACGTTTCTGATGTGTTATTTGAAGGAAGCTAAGGTAATGGCTACCAGATCAGCTACCTGGTTGTTCTTCAATCTTCAAGTTAGTAAGATAAGGAGATACTGAGGCTGAAAAATTAGGGTGGGCGCTTTGCCCACCCTACCCTACTGTGCTGGTGGAGGGGCGGCAAGCGGGATGTTGGGAGCAGGCTGTAATTGCTTTTGGCCAGTCTCGAAATTTGCCCAGTCGTGGCGCGTTCTTTATCCGCATTCAAAGGACGGACCGGCGATTTAATGACATTTATATCGCTGTTTAAAAAAAATATAGTCACTCGTTTTCCTGAACGGCGTTGGGCGTGTTCGACCTCCCTTGACACACCAAGTTGTAGGTACCTATTTTCTAATGAATAAAAATAAATATGCACATGATTAAAATGTGATACATACCTCTCTTCACGCGTTTTTGACCCCTATCAATCGATTCAAAAAAGAGCTTGATGTGTGAAATATTGCCAATTCGCATTGAAAATACTATGTGTTTGAAATTATAAGATGACTTAAGGTCAAACAGTACCCACCAACCAGGCAGAGAATGGCACGGGGGCTCAAACTAGGTAGGGCAGGGCACGGGGCCTAAAGACGGGAGGGCAGCGCATAAAATTTCGAGGCAGAGTATATAAGGTATCGGGTTTGAGGGGAGGGCAGGGCGGGGCACAGAGCCTGAATGCAGAGCAAGGCGCAGGGCCTGGAGGAAGGGTAGGGCAAGGAACAAGACCTAAGGACAGGGCACTGGGCAGGGCACATATCCTAGGGGTATAGTAGGGAAGAACATAATAAGGTGTACGACCTTGGGTAGGGCAGCGCACAAGGACTGGAGAGGACATGTATGTTCTTAGGTAGATAGTAAATCAGGGCAGTCACAAAGCAATGGGAAAGGCAACATCTGTTGCACAGTAAAAGACCGAGGCATGTCACTTATTTTTGCTCGCACTTTCCTCTGAAACCGTGGCATTTCAGTGTGGGACGCAGTGGTCCAAATTTCGCGAGGGCTACGTCCCAAAGGCAGGGGGCTGCGTCCCAAAATGGGACGCAGTCAGTATGTTAAAATATGCCCTGAGGTCAGGTCAGCGATTAGATATGCAATTTGTCGACTTTACACTGATTCGCAGGTCAGGTCAGCTATCCTCAGTGTCCAGATATAGTCTGGATCTGTCATTCAGGTCGACTAGTTCAAAGGAGATGGGTTGTCGGTAGAGGATATGGTGCAAATGACATGCGGTATATACAAACCCGTCAGGGCCGGCTGTCAGTAGTCTGCCAGCGTCCGTCACCAGCCCGTCACCAGTCAGTCCGTCACCAGTCCGTCACCAGCCCGTCACCAGCCCGTCACCAGTCCGTCACCAGTCCGTCACCGTCTGTCACCACCTGACGGCTCCTGTCAGGCGTCAGCAACCCACCTTTCCTCGTATGGTGGCATTCCTTTGCTGACAGCTCGATGACAATACATTTGCGTCCGGTTTTACTGAATAAAGGGCTAGTGTGAGGGACACTGGCCCTCCACTCTGGCATGTGTGCGATTCGTACGGCAGGTGGCGATTCCAGTACGCTATTTAGTGGCCGCTTATCAGTGAATGCCATCGCCGCGGTAGCCGACCGGCCTGGCTAATCCGCATTGCACGAACTTTTTCCCGGTTGGCGATATTTTTCAACCTGCGGCCGGCAGCCGGACATGCAGCGAGCGCCGGCGACCGGGCCGCGGCCAGGCAGCGCGCCGGCGCGGGGCGGGGGCGGCGGCAGGGCGGCGTGGGCGGCGCGGCGGCGGCGCTCGTTCAGGGACAGACTACGCGCCATCCGCCCACGCCATCCAGTATCCAGTCTGCCCGCAGTCGCCGAGGAGTAGTTGGCCCACGCGAACCGACTGCAGATATACCAGCCACCGCTCCGGTCCGTAATGAACCGCCCCAGTGCGTGTTCACGGCACAGATGCAGCCGCACGGCCGTGCCACCGTCTTTGTTATCGAGAGGATGTTTGCGCATCGAGCGATGATTGATGATGGAAATAACCGGAATGACGATTTTACAGCTCAACTGAAGGCATCCGATTTATCGACATGTTGCCTGGTTATCGCTATTTACTTACATTGACGGCCGGATCTTCCCAATCACTCATCAAGGACATCGATGGTTGAGTGGTATTTCGCGATTGGCCGTCTGTCTGACAATCGGTCTCAACTCCGTTCAGCTGTAGGTACTGGCGTTTGTGGCGCCTGTGTCTCAGGAAACAGCAGTGCAGTGGTACGGGCAATGTGCATGCTACTCTGCTGTGCGTACGCAATGCATCTACCTCAACTGTCTGAATCAGCTGGGAATTTTGATCGTTGAATGACCACTATCGGAGAACTTCGCAGATGTCGCCATTTGCTATAGTGTAAACGACCCGCGGGGTCCAACTCTCTGAAAATGGACCGCCGTGGCCGCCCAGCTCTCACCTTGGTGTGTTACGGACGTGACATACGGTCACGCCCAGCAGTCAGTGGACAGTCACGTGGCCATTGTCACTGCAGCGTCACGTACCCTCAGCTGTGTCACGGAATGGTAAGCGCGACAGTCGACGCTCTGACCGGGACTACAGGCCGCGTGTCCACGGAGTGAGCTTACCGCATGTGGGCCGGCAGACGGTCCGCGCCGTGTAATATACCTAACCAAAACACGACTTCGTGCAGGCATGAGAGAGGTGGATATTGAAGCTATGGTGTCCTCAGGACAATGGAGAGGCAATGACGTTCACTATTTTGCTGAGACACCAGACGTGACCGATTTGTCAGAATCGTTTTCTTTTACTTTGAGCTCAGATTTTGATTCATTCCTCCAGCATTTTATGCTAACGATAAGTATCTTACCTCCACTCTCTGCCAGTTACACTAAGCCGCCTTCTGTTTACTAAATCTAACCGGATCAGCGACTAAAACAATGCTCCTGCCACCATATCCGCTAATCGCCTCAACAATCACGCCGGCGGGTTTATTACAGGATAATCGAGGCTAGTTTAGGGAAAGTTCCATGGAGCGTCCGGGCCTCCTGGTCCCTCCGCCCACCGGGGCTGCTACTGGGCTTAAGCCCGCCCGCCCGGCTGCATTTTGGAAGGCTGGGGAATGATTCACCCGCACAGGCTGAGCGGGTGCTGCACGATTTTCCCGCGGTATGCTGGACAACGCCCCTGTACGGATGCAGTCTGTGGCCATGCGCCCCCGGCTGCCATGTGGTCTGTGGCCACCGGTTATGCGCCATGCAGACCGCTTGGCAGCGGCCAGCCGGTCCAGAGCTCTAAATTAGCAGAGACTGCCTCACTCGAACCTACGTCTATACCCAGCAGTAGACCCCATAGGTAGACCAACCCAGACCGGAGAAGCCGGAGGTCTGTCTGCTCCGCCCATACCATGTCCGTCATACTGTCCGATGATCCGACCTTCCTCTCGTCTGACCAGCAGTGCGACGGACAGTGTGAGCTCCAACCCGGAGCAGTCTGAGCCCTGAGGGATCTGTTCCGTTCTGTTTTCTGTTTTCCGTCGGTCTGTCTGCCTGTTTGTTGAGCGGCGGTTTGTTGGGCCCTCACTCCGGACCATGCAATTGTCTGTGAGAAGTCGGTACGAAGGTCTGCTCTGCTATTCCCCGTGATGCTGGATCATATACTATTTCTAAACATCTCCGCGCCGTAGGGCGTTTGGTGACAGTGTTTGTGACTGGACGGACAATTTGACGCTCCGACGCTTTAGAATCTACTAAAATCGTCACAATTTATTGTTTTTCTTTCGCAGATGAATCGGAGCGTGTACAGAAGAAAACATTCCTCAACTGGATCAACTCGCATCTACGACACGTGAGTACACGCTATACATGTAGTTTGAATTCATATGAATGACATGCTATTGTGCACGTTGGTAATTGCACAAGTAAACAAATAAATAGTGCGCGGTAGAGTAAATGATATTTGATTCGTTTTTTTTTCTTGTCTATCCCGTTCACCTTTTTTAATTCGGCACTCGATTGGGGCATAATGTATGCGATGATTTATCGAATATATCACGACACTCTTTACATTTGAACCATTCATTCAAGCATCTGCTGAATACTTATGCCTTCAAGTGCATATTGCTGCATTGAATCGTTATAGTACGTACTGCGACGTCGCCGTTACTCTACGATACCGCACCTTTATCAGCTGCTGAGTGCTGATGGGCTCCCATGGAATGTGAACAATGTGTAAGTGGGCCGTATTTTACTCAACCATGCGCTGTCACACCGGCGCTTTTCTCTGCATTGAGACAGTTCTTTAGTCGCCCTTATATCAGCCCGTCTTATGGCTGAAGCGGCTATCATGCCTGCGGTCGAGTGCCACTCAAGGTTTACAACACACAATAGCGCGTCAGTGCCCCGAATAGAGCTCCGTTGTCAATCGTTCCGATACTTGACACCGATAGTCTTTTGCCCGTGACATGGCAGGATGGCCGACAGATAAATGTCGTGATCCCGTGCTGTAGGTATGGCTTAGCTGTACTGATACCATTCTTCCTTTCACAACGGCATGTGTTTGTGCACGCTCGAAGCTGAAGAAATGTACGTAGTAACAAGTAGAGGTGGAAATGACTAACGTTTTCCGAAATCTTGACTAATGACTGACTAATGACTAATGACAATTTTGGTTGACTGACTTTTGACTGACTAATCTTTCGTCTCAAAAAGTTTGACTGACTAATGAATGACTAACGCCATTTTTCTTGATTTTGACTAATAGTTGACTAAATTTCGGAGGACGGTTGCGAATATCGAGAGCTTTCCAACTAACTTAGTCAACATTGGCGCATCTATGAAAGATTGACTTGCAACTTGGAAGAGCGTATTCCTCAGTCAATTAGCTGCAAAATGACACATTGTTGTCTTTTTATGACTTTTTAAGGTCATAGAAAATGTTTTTTTATGACGTCACGTACCACGATACCTCCCAAAAAGCCGCAGGGCTATGCTCGCTGACCGGCAGCAGCAGCAGCCGCCCGTCAACCGGAGACCTGGGGAGTTCACTGCCACTTATAGGAACAGTTTTGAAGGCGTTTAGGTGAAAATTGAACCACAGATTCGGATTCAGGACCTCAAGAAACCCCAGTAAACACAGCTCATGTCACGGAGGTCAGTGTGTGAACATGCGAGGTCATTGACCTTGGTTGACCTCGGAAAGGTCAATATACAGTGTAAAGACTCATGTCCAGTCAAATTCTGTCATTAAAGGGACTATCCCACCTTTAACATGGGGTTTGAGTTGAGATAGCCAAGTTTGCGGCGAGGTTCAGAAACCACTATCTATCTAGGTTGCAACCCCCGCAGCCTCTTGGTGTTGAAGAAATTCGTTCCCTTCATTTGAAAATGGGCCTTGTACAAGGCCCTATCTTCAACATGGAGCGACCGTTAGTGTGACGTCACCTCGTTTAGTCATTCTGATTTAAATGGGTTTGTTCGTTGACAAATCGCTTAAAACCTGGTCTGAACTTTGTTGTGGTGCCTACAGAGTAAAAAGAATCAGCTTTATGACAGTAATGTGGCCTGGGGAAGGAGGTAATTTTGGGCTTTGACGTCACATATTTGAAAGTTTGTGTTTGGAATATGGGAAGCTTAAGATGTTTAATGAAAAATAAATGCCAGAACCGTGTTCCTGGTCATCCAATCTATAAAGTCGGGCACAATTTAACTGGTTTTAACAACATTTTAGAACGTGGGATAGTCCCTTTAATGAAACGGAATAGTTCCGTTCTTGTCGATGAAATCACGTCCAGTTACAGTATGTAAGATTTTGTCAAAAATGGTCGGAGGTTGTACCTATTATGACGTCATAGCTCGGTGACCTGACATGACCCGAAAATTTTGTCTACTAAAAGTTGCGCAAAGATGCCCCAGAGGCTATTGAAAATTTCGGCACGATCCGACTAATAGTTCGGCGCGCATCTAAAAAAAAAAAAACTCAGGGGAGTCGCATCGACCCCCTGCCCTGCTAGGGTGAGGGTTAAGTCACCTCACGAACCACTACAAATTAGTCGACTAATATGCAACAAAATCATTGACTAATGACTGACTAATGACTAACAAACATTTTGGTTGACTGACTTTTGACTGACTAAAAAAGCGCTTGACTAACGTTAGTCGACTAATTTTTGACTAATGACTAATATTCATTTCCACCTCTAGTAACAAGGAGTGGTATGTAACTACTTACATACTTCATTCTGCCTAAATATTACTACGAATGATCTGTATCATTCCATATCTGCATATGGAATGTGCATATGCTAAATCGGCACTTGAATAAAATTGCACGAACAGGTATTCTGCCGAACCTGAATACCTGAACAGCAAGAATTAACAACATGAACAACATGAATTAACAAGAGCAGGTACTCTTGTTAATTCATATAACTCTTTATCCACCATGCTTGTTAGAAATTCGGAACATTTCGTTCCTGCTCGATGATTTTTTTTTTTGCATTTTTGACGCAACGAGCGTGAAAACGCTTAACGAAATATATTTTACAAAACCACACTTTCATTTTTTCAGTTCGAGTATGTCGGGAATGCCGATTCAAACAGGCCAATGTGTGTGCTTCGACAGCCACTGACAGCACTCTGCACAGATTCATCCATGTCCCCCATTTTATACGCATTCCGCCTGTTCGGCGTTTGCCGAATAATTCACCTTCGCCTCGTCTATCCATGCCTATCCGTTTTTCGGCATCGCGTCTAGCTGGTCAAATTCGTCTAACAGTCACTCTGTGACATAAGTGTGGTGTTTGCTGTTTACACTGGGCACGTCGGCTTGTTTGAACTGCAGCTTGCAGCAGCATTTGTTACGTCACACTTCCCTGGCGGTATGTTGGCAGCTCTCGGTGAACAGTTAGCTATGTAACATACATATGAAGGTGTCGGCTGACCACCCGTGCCATATTTAAAGACATACGTTATGCAGTGGTGTTGTGCAATGCCTCGACTGTACTGCACTCCTGGCCTGCAGCTAATACTGCATGACCACACCAGATCACCGCCTGAGATACGGCAGAAACTGGTCTGCACTGCAGAAATCCGTGCATGCAGGGTGCCGCATGGATCCATAAATTCGGCCCATACTTGGCCGGTGCTTATGGCCGATATGTGGGCTCTGATAGCGTCATGGGCAGTATCGAAAGTGATTTTCGGGTGGCCTTGCTGCGACTGCCCGGTGCAACATTGCTCTAACTGGATAACGGCTGCGGATGATTGTGTGTGGCTATTTTGTAGCCTGTATGGATGACAGTCGCTTCATATCTACATAGAACACAATTACGACTAACATAAGGCGGTGTAAGCTTGTTAGTTGCTGCTTCTAAGGCACTACTTCTTTGGGGCACTACTTACCTACACCACATTACATCACCACATTTTCTTCCGTTGCATAACTCGGAAGAATTTCCCATGTTAAAGTCCGTTCATTTATCTGAATTCTGCTCATGTTTACCTTTCCATTTTCGGCCAACCTATGCTTACATCTCCATGCTTAACATGACGCTGCTATATCCTGTTTGTGTCCGTTCTCTAGTCTTCCCAACTTCATTCAGCCGTCGCTAGGAGAGGTATGGGGTCGCCTGTTTCCGGGATGTTTCGCAGAAGAGCACAATTAACAATCCATCATGAGCGGCTGGCCTTGGCGCCGCGGGCCTGGCCTGCTCCGGAGGTCACGTGGTGATTACCATATCTATCTGGCCGGCTAACGATCCCGGTCACGTGGTGTGCAGCCTGCTATCGGCCGGCGGCGGGGCTACTATCGCGGTGATGGGCTGAGAGGCGGTATGTACTAGCATCCTATATACCTACAGGGGTGTGTGGGTGCTGCCCGCAGGCCCGCGGCTGGTCACCGCGCGCCAGTCGACCCCAGAGTGTTTACTGGAGACGGTGCTATCCTGTGGCGGGCTGTAACGGACGTCTGCCATGATCCCTGGACATGCACGGCGACTCGGCTCCCGTTGATCTGACCAAAGTGGGTCATTGTGTCCTTGGCATTTTTGATTGGAAGCCGTCTTGCCGCATGTTTACCCAAACTGGTAACTTTTAGGAGAGATGCTTACCTCTAATGAAGGAACTCGATGATCGAGCTAAACATATACATTCATGCATTCTTGCTGATATTCTGACCGACACTCAAAAATTTAGACATTGATGTGCCTAAAATTTTCTAGCAATGTCTGAACGGCCGTAACTTTCGGGAACATGTTGTCCAGTTGTCCCTCACAACCCGGCGAGGCACTCGGTACTCTCTCCTCCCAGACGGGCTCCTGAGTGAGAGTGGCTCTTCGGTGACTGGTCAGAGGCACACCCGAGCCGCTGTGCGTGTGCCGAGGTAACTGCGAGCCGCAGCGGACGCCCTGGGTGGACCGACTTCAGTCACGGTGGGAGCTCGCTTGGTGTGGAGACGCCCAGGAACAAAAACACCGTCTGACCCGACACGGGGCGCCAGTCATCTCGCCGGGGGAGGGACGCCCGTCGACATGGGATCGGCAACACGCAGAACAGCAACACATATAAACAACCGACAATGATTCGACAACGTTCAGACAGGGAACAACAACACCTAGACACAACACCCAGACACAACACCCAGACATAACTTTCAGCCTTCAGACAAAATTTTAAAAAGCTCCTTCATGATACACCCCAAATAATCCGCTCATGACAGTTCAGTCAATTTCTCACTTCGCTTCAAGTTCAGTCCAATGTAGTCACCCATTCTCTCTCTCTCTCTCTCTCTCTCTCTCTCTCTCTCTCTCTCTCTCTCTCTCTCTCTCTCTCTCTCTCTCTCTCTCTCTCTCTCTCTCTCTCTCTCTCTCTCTCTCTCTCTCTCTCTCTCTCTCTCTCTCTCTCTCTCTCTCGTGTCTCTTTCTCTCCTCACTCTTCCCCCTCTTTTCCCCCGGCTCCTAGGCTTGGCCGATTGTAGATCTGCTGGTCACTCCAGTTTTTGTCCTGGGCAGGAAATGGATGATGTCACGGCAGGCGGCACTGATAGATGAATGGCCATCCCCAGATGATGGCGAGTTAATTGACTAAAATAAAAGACTAATGGGGGCGATGACTTCAAGTTAAAGTTTCGCATTCATGTCAGGCGATAGCAGAGCTTGTAGGTGACTGGTTACGACTTTGCTTTGAAAATAGTTCAGGGAACTGCCGAGTTAGCCACTGCATACACAAATGTAAATCAATCTTATTTTGCCAAAACATGTAGCAAACGAGCCTGGTGCGTGCATTTTTTGATAGGTTGAAATTTCTGATAAAAACTACGCTGCTGCCGTTCATTGTCCTGACCGTCGCATTGGATGATCCTGCACCGGCGCCCCTTTTCGAATTCGTTTGGCGCCGCCGCCGGCTGACGGGTGTGGTATCCCGTGGAATGTGTCCGTTGGCCGCTGACAGTATGTTGGGGAGTTCCGGGACGGGTGGTGGATGTGCTCTGGGCTCCCAGCGGCACTCCAAGGGCACACCCTAACGGCCGGAGCTCGGCGGCGGTCAGGGGAGCGACACGGGAGCGCGCGGCCGCTCCCCTGACCGTCGCTCCGCGCCGCCTGTCGGCTCCTATGGAGCCTAGGCCAGGTATACCTGGCCTTGTCCACTGTCTTCTCAGATGCTGTTCTCTCTGCCCGGTCCTGAGCCTCCTGCTCCTTCCAGTACACTGTCCAATGTTCAGTGCTGTAGTTTTCCCTGCCCTCTCCACTTCCAGTGCCTTACTTTCCGGTGTTCGATATACTCCGCCCCTGTGAGTTTCGGCCCATACCGCCCTCATCAAATGCTGGCCGTCTGGTCAAACGGCTCATCCATCATCCCGGTCTCTCTCTCTCTCTCTCTCTCTCTCTCTCTCTCTCTCTCTCTCTCTCTCTCTCTCTCTCTCTCTCTCTCTCTCGCTCTCTCTCTCGCTCTCTCTCGCTCTCTCTCGCTCGCTCTCTCTCTCTCTCTCTCTCTCTCTCTCTCTCTCTCTCTCTCTCTCTCTCTCTCTCTCTCTCTCTCTCTCTCTCTCTCTCTCTCTCTCTCTCTCTCATCTCTCTCTCATCTCTCTCTCTCACTCTCTCTCTCTCTCTCTCTCTCTCTCTCTCTCTCTCTCTCTCTCTCTCTCTCTCTCTCTCTCTCTCTCTCTCTCTCCCTCTCGAAGGGAAGGAAGATAGCTGTGTGGGTGGAGACGGGTGCGCGGTGCGAAGACGACCTTCACAGTCACGGCCAATCCGAGTTGAATCCTCTCGCTCGTCACCGCAGCGGCCGCTCTTTTGCAGACTCAGACTACTATCGATACATTCTGGACATTTGCATCAGGTATGCGCTTGGCAGGTGACCTCAGACTGAGGAGCTGCGGCTGCACTACAGACATGACGTCAGGATCCTGACTCGCCTGGCATGTCTTGTCACGCTGCACAGTGGTCACTTTCCTTCGTCTGCGAGTTGCATTGCAATGCGCGATTCGCGAGCGAAAGGTGCGCTGCGCACATGCGTGCTACTTGCATATTTCGCTCGGTGTTATCAGCAAATCATTCCACGTTCCAGCGATTTCGGTATGCAAATAAGAACAATATCTATGCTTCCATACACCATTCGCACAGCACTTTCCCTCGTGCATTTTACATATGCACATTTTGGCACTTGAGAGCACGGCTCTGAAATTTGCCGCTATTCATCGACATTATCCATCACCACTCATTCACCCTGATTCTATATTTAAGCATCAGCCCCAGGCGGCCACTTGCATGGAGCCGTCTGTGTAAATCAGCGCAGTTCAGCGGGCCTGTCTGGCATTCGCTGAACGGTGGGTGCGTGGGCGTATGTGCTGCAGCATGCAGGGCGTGTAAAACTGCCTGACCCTGGGGCGACTGGTGCTGGTAGGGTGACATCAGCATGACGGTCCACGGCCACCGGGCCCGGCAGACTGGTGTCTGCGGGGGCGAGGGTGGGTCTCTGCGCTGAACTGCGGGGGCGAGAGAGAGAGGTCTCTGGGTCGGATTGCAGTCTGTGGGGGGGGGGGGGGGCGAGGGGATTCAGGGTCGATATAGAGGTTGGTCGGGTCCCAGAGACGTGGACCGAAATTACGATGCTGGAGTCACAAGATTGCATGACATTTAGCTCTGTCTTACCGTCGGTATCCCGTCACTGAATATGAACACAACACTCTGCCCGTTTTGAAAAGGTAGCCTGTTGCTAACGTCATTTGTCTCTGTGTTCCACAGCACGACCCGCCTCTGGAGATTGCCGACCTGATCGAGGACCTCAAAGACAGCACCAAGCTGCTGGCGCTACTCAGCGTGCTGTCTGGACAGGAACTGGTACGTATAACCGCGGGCGTGAGACCCTGGAGCCCGGGTACATATGTACCGCGCGGCAGTGACCGCAGAGACCCTGTATCTGCGGTACGTACCGCGATCGCTGTGGCAGACACCATAGACCAGGTGATACATACCGCGCTACTGTGACCGCTGGGATCAGTGGGACGGACCGTGCTACACTTACAACTCCTGGGACTCTGGACCCGTGGTAATACGGACCTCTCGACAGTGACCGCCTGCTCCTGGGATCTGTCGCCACGCTGCAGGTGACATATCGTGACAGCTTCCCCCTGCTATGCGACGGCTGTGAAATGTCCTGACCTGGCCGTTGGCAATGACAATTTGTATGAAGATACGGAGCACCTGTCTTGGCAAAGCTTGTGGCGGACGGTGTTTTCCTGTTGTTGACTCTTTGAACTGTCACGAGTCGTCAAATTTGTCAACAATCTTTTGGAGTGTCACCTAATGACACATATGTCACCTTCGCGATATGCTATTCGGCAGACTGATCTGTATTATGATAGCTTTGACCTGACCCGTGACATCTATGACCTGCTTCGTGACGTCTTCGGTCTGTGTGCTGTGGCTGTTACCTACCTGGTGTGAATTGACACCACTGAAGCCTGCAAGCATCTGTCATAGGGTCTTGCACCGGTCGATCTAACCATCAGAAGCTTGTTCAAACCAGTTCGAACTAGCAACAATTAGTTTTGACAGAAAGTCGGCGCACTTTGAACTAGGCAACCGCTGTAGTAAAACGTTGCAAGTTAGAGTATATCTAACGCTGGTGATACTACTCGACCGCCCCGCCATGTACTGGCCGTGCAGATTAGCGGAAGACGGTACTCATTCACCCACCCATATTCCAGTCATGATTCCATGGCATCCTTCTGAGACCATGACTTAGCACTTATACCCGAGAGGAAATCGACGCACATAGACGCCAGGCACTTTTATTTGTAGCCTTATGACCAAGGACGAGGGGGCTGAAAACGTGTGATGACGTCGCGGACATGACTGCCAGAAGACACTTACCGTCGCCACGAGAGAACACTTATGATGTGCCACGACCGGCTGTTTGCACTGTGAAGATGTTTGAAGAAGGGTGTGCCCGCAGGAGGCGTGACAGTGGTGTCGGTGCTTGCTGATTGAGTAGGTTTGTAAAGTGGAATTGGATGTTTGTTGAATGGATTCATATGCAGCGCATGAAAGGCCGTTCATTCGGCGCAGGTGGCGCATGGAAGAGGAAAATGCGAATCTCGCATCGTCTTTATGACTAATATAAGGGCTGAGGCAGTGACGAACTTTCGCAACTATGATTCTGTGATATTAGAATTGAAGGGCACTTTGTTAACTTGAATGCGCATCAACAATCGAACAGTATAATTCCTGTTTCTTGCCCTGCATATCACTCACGAGGACATGCAAAGGAAAGGTCTTTCTCGCTGCATGTTGCGCAGGTCGGCGTGTTTAAATACATTCCGTATTGGCATGTGTCCTGTCCATGCCTTTCCTTCCTCAACATCTACAGTCCGTGGAGCGTACGACTGACGTAGCGCGGGCTCGGAGACTGCTTAGGACGTTTGCTGAGCTGTGATTATGTGTCCAATCCGTGGCCATCCCATGTCCCGTCTAATACCGACAGCCCTTAGAGCGGGGGCGGAGACTGAGGACGTTGTGAGGGTGTGTGTGTGTGTCCCATGTGAGTCATGACGCTTGTGTCCGTATTTGACCAGTCCGTGTCTCTCCCACTCCAATGCCGACAGCCCGTTGAGCGGGGACGGAGAATGAAGACGTTGGTGAAGGTGTGTCTGTTTCCCGTGACTCCTTGTCGTCCGTGTCTTTCCCTCCAATGAGGAAGCCCGTGGAGCGGGGACGGAGGGTCATGTCGTTTGTTGACAGTGGGCCTGATTCCCTTGACTGTGTGTCCATGGCTGACCGTGTCTGTGTCTCTATGTAATCCCCACAGTCCGTGGAGCGGGGGCGGGGGCTAAGGACGTTTGTGAGGATGTCTGTGTCCCATGACTCTTGTGTCTTTATTTGACCGTATCCGTATATCCCTGTCCGACAGCCCGTGGAGCGGGGACGGAGGCTAAGGACGCCGCACTTCCTCAGCAATGCCAACACCGCGCTGCGATTCCTGCAGAGTAAAAAGGTGAGCCGACTCCTCCGTCACGCAACGCAACGTAACGTAACGAATTGTCTCGGCGTCGTTGGTCAGGAGGTCAGAACTGCTGGCTGCACTGTACCTTACACACGGCATACACCACAGACTGTCTCCACTGGGCCTGTTGAAGCTCACACCGCTCGCGGTCGACCTTCAGCTCTCATCTCACGAGTCACGATTAGCGACTCGCGTCCCAGCTCCGTGAGTGCCGCGTCACGACCCGTCTCTGGACCTCACGGACTCACGGTTCGATCGGCAGCGGTCACGGCCGCTGCACTGGCCACCGGGACAGGTGTGTCGCCGGTCTGACGTCATCCGGCTAGTCGTGATCAGGCGATTGCCATTCTCTCCCTCTCCTCTTTTCCAGCTCTCTCCTTTCCCTCCTCTCCAGTTACTCTTCCCTGACCGGGCCCCCGCTGCAGTCGCTTCCAGACCGTGCTCCGTCCCTCTTCTAATTACCCGCTATTTCCTGGCGCAAGACAGATCTAAACACGACTGCAGTCCCGCTTCTAGTCCGCTAATGCCCGGCACAAGCCTCGTCCCAACCAGACCCCAGTCCGTCTCAGCCCAATCTTAGCCCGACCTCAGCCCGCTTCTACCTGGCACAAACCCGGTTCAGCCCGTCCACTGTCCGGCTCTAACCGTGGACCAGCCCGGGTGATGTCAGGCCGGTGTGCCTGCGGTGACTGCAGAGGCCGGTGACTGCAGCATGCAGGTGATGGGTAGGCGGCAGGTGTGCTTACTGTCAGACGGTCCCTGGCGAGTTCATGGACGGGAGGTGGGAGGAACGGTGAGGTAGACCGATGTGGTGATTCGGCAACTGCAATCGCTGCCGGACAGATGAATCTGGAGGCATTGGAATTTGGACTTCTATCGACCGAGGTCAGGTCGATTGGATATTGGTGAAGGGGTGCTGGTCATTTGCACTTTAGGGCAATGCTGTTGGCAAAACAAATTACTGCAGAAGAGGGTTACGGACACTGCCGACACGCGGCACGCCGGACTCCTGACCCACCGGATGTCTCCATCAGATTATGCATCACGACGGAAATCAGTGACACTTCACCGGTGACCTGTGACGATGTGGTGTACGGAGCCCGCCATTCGCTATATCCACTGTCCACTGCCGGAGATAGGAGATATGTCTACGGACACGGACTGACGCTCAGTCTTCACGGATTGTGCACGATTCAGTGTCCACTTCACCCCAGCTCACTGTCTACCGAACAGTTTTTTTTTTGTCCACCGCCCAATGTATTCTGTCCACTGCTGAAGATCGTAAACCTGCCCACAAGTGGGCAAGGGGTGGAGTTCAGACGTTCATGGAGGCGGATCGTGACTCTGACTCTGACTCTGACCGTGACTGTGACCGTAACCTATTATTATTATTTTTTTTGGCACTTCACCGTGGCTCGCGTCAGGACAACCTCCTATATGCCATATAACTACTCGCGTTGATGTAAGAAATATTGTGATATTATATTGCTCCAGACGAACCTGACAAGACAAATGCTTGACAGAAGACCCGTGACCATCGCTAGCTGTCAACCAGTGAAGATCACAGGCAGAAATATTTGTGCCAGCGGACTTTGAAGAGAACTGAATGGTGATAATGATATGCTATTTTGAATGTCTGTCTTGCATGCTTTTTCGAGTTTCTGCATCAATGGCGAGTGCCGACGGACGCGACCCCCCGATTCTACTGAAGTACCTACGAGTCCACTTTCTGAGTTTTATAATATAAGGCCTGTCGTCGCCGGGTGTGGATACAGCCACCGTCCGGCGGTGTGGTGGCTCTCCCGCCTCCAAGCTGTGCGTTGCAGTCGGTTCGTTTGGCTGTCGCCCCGCCCCCGCCCCCGCCCCCGCCCCCGTCCCCGTCCCCGTCCCCGTCCCCGGCCCCTTCTCCTCCCTGTCCCCTGCCGTCGACCGAAGGCCAGGCATGTAAGGTGACCCCGCTGACAATGACAGACGAGTGTTGTGTCCAATTCTGCGGCTTCTCAGCGTTCGCAGCTGCGGTGTTTGGCAGCTATCGGTGTTAAATTTGACACCGGAGCTTCGCCTGGAAATGATAACTAATCGAGCGTTATGGGAAGTCCTAAACACGATAAGACACACGAAACCTGAGTATCCTATGCGGTCGGTTGCTGCAATATTCCACGCACCCACGCTGCTGGGTCGTCATTGTGCGGAGCTTGTTCAGGCGCCGTGTGCGCGGGTGTCTATTTGCCTTCGTGACGGGCCATTTGACGCGCTGTCAGCCGAGCCCGGGGGCGGACGCGTCTCCGCTAACCGTGCAAATACCGGCGCTTCTCGAGTGTCGGACGGGGGTAGTGGCTGGTGGGAGGGTGACGCGGCTTCAACTGAGGTGGTACTGTCGGTCAGGGATTTATGGAAATCAGCCGAGAGGATACCTACTCTGAGAGGAAACTACGCACATTCCCCTCTTGGAAAGACGCATTGAAATGAATGGCAGAACTTTGAATGCCCCTTTCTGACGTTTACTGAACTAAGACATTTAGTCCCTGTTCTACAGAAATCTTTTTTCACATGTCACACATCGCTCTGAACTTGTTCATCTGCTGCCTCTGATGTCGGACGTCTCACGCTACAACCATCAGCCAGCCTCTGACGTCTCCCTGCTCTCCTTCTCGCAGATCAAACTGGTGAACATCAACCCCTCGGACATCGTGGAGGGTCGGCCGGCCGTGGTGCTCGGGCTGGTCTGGACCATCATCCTCCACTTCCAGGTTAGTGCGGAGAGTGAGCCTGGGGTGGGCCAGGGAAGGGAAGTGTGTCGGGGATACGAGGGGGGGGGGGGTGTAAGTACGGGCTAAATGAATACCGCTCCAGTTTCAAGAGTAATGACATCAGTCTCAATTAGGCGTTCCTCCAAGTAATTGGCATAGCTATCTCAATTTGCGGAAATAGAAGTCAAACAGTGAAGAAGGGACACGATATATTATAAATACCTAGAAGCAAAACTTCGGTCGCCTAGAACGACTGCATCTCCAATTTTTGTGCTGGTGAGAGAACTGTGAGCGAGCGTGTCCTGTGAGAGCGCTGTGAGCGAGCTGTGAGGGTGTTCAATGTTCATGGCTCAGCCCGAGAGGCCGGATGGACCAATAATCAGGTAATAACAGAACTGAATGAACCGGGACGATCGATCGCGCCCATAGGATGAACTGAATGAGGATGCCATTAGGTAACGGAGCCTGGGTCACGGCAAACGATGCTGAGCTCTCAAAAGCGTGAGGGAAACTTTAAATATGGGTACGGTTGGTCATATCATCTCATGATCGCCACTCGTCATCATCGCGCTCAGCAGCAAATGCAATGCGGCTTTCCTCCTCACTGTGTTTTACAAATTGATGCCCCCTGATCAAGTCGGGACTTCTTATTTGGTACCGCTACCCCTCTTGTGGAAGATTGTAGCTTATCAGTACGCAGGTTTGCAAGCAAAAATAAGTCACTTGCAAATTCGGACTGCTGACCGTTCAGCGCTAACTGCTGATTGCCTAGACTGACTGCTGACCCCTGACCACTAACGGTTGACCGCTGACCCCGCCGACAGATTGAGATGAGCACGCGCGCTCTGGACCACCTGGCCCGCAGCGGCAGCCTGGAGAGCCTGGAGTCGCTGGGCCGGGCCGGCTCCCCGGCGCCTGTGTCGGCGGCGGGCGGCTCGCCCGGACAGCAGCGGGCGGGTCCGCAGCCGCCGCCGCCCGGCGCACGGAAGGCGCTGCTCGTCTGGGCCAGAGACGCCACTAGGTGGGTAGTCGTCAGTGGTGAACTGGGGGAGTCGTCACCTGAGACAGTGGTCTGTTCCCAAGCTCAGTCGGTGTTCGCCAGTTGATCGTCTCAGCCTTCGTCGCCGGTGGAAAGTCATAAGTACAAACAGAACAACAAACCCACAAGATGCGATCGTCCGACAGACTGTTTACTGTATACAACTGTCTAGTTCATCATACTTCTCCCACACATCGGTCCGAAATTTGCTACGATCGTTGCATTTCTTGCTTCCCCTTTCGATACTTGCTAGCAGCTTCATTCAATCTCACCCAGACCCAGCTCACTAGTACCTATCTCATGCCGGGAATCTGAGAGTCAGTACCGGCGCTCATCATGGAACCGGTCCCTGCCCCCTCCCCGTCCTCCCATTTCCCAATGCAGTGGCTCAGTCTCGTGGCGTCCTTGCGGCTGCAGGCACGCTCCGTCAGAACCTCGCGAGCCTTTGACAGATGACGGCACTGCCGTTCACTTTCACCAGTAGCTCTGAACGATCCGTGCACAGCTGTCTTAGCATTTTACGGGCATGATATGACATGTTGCAATGTTTTCCCATTTTCTATCTGCTCTAAGTGGTCAGCTTTGGCTACCGCCATGCCGTTTGGCTACCTTAGAAAATCTTAAATTTAATCCGTTTTAATGTTTTTTTTGCCTGCTAACCAGCGCTCTGCTCGTGTTGTACGAGTATGATGATATATTCCGTGAGTGGTTGGGTGCTCGTTTGTAACGTTTGTTCGTTTGTCACGAACATAACGTTCGAACGTTATGTCTCACGTAGTTATTTCGTGGTAGTGCCGTATATGTTTATGAAGTAGCACCGACTGGCGGTTTACCCCATTGCTGGCGTATTTTCATTTGTGTGCATCTGTGCGTTTCGTTGTCATGTCATGCATACTGCACAGTCATTCGATCCTGGCTATGCCATACAAATCACGCTCGGTAGCCATGTTATCCCGTACCTGTATGTAACGTACACACCCACTCGCCATGGTGCTGCTCGCGGCCGGCTGTTTATTTGTCTGCTGTTTCTGCCGCCCAGGGACTACGGCCTGGAGATCAAGGACTTTGGCCGCTCGTGGCGGGACGGCCGCGCGTTCGTGGCTGTCGTTCACTGTATCCAGCCGTCAGCCATCGAGCTAGCCGCCACAGAGAGGATGCTCACTCACGACCGGCTCGAGGCTGCCTTCAAGGTAACCGCCCTCCTCCCCGACACTAGGCGTGTGTGTGTACGCACGGGCGAAGGTGACCGCCCGTCCCCGACACCCCGGCGTGTGTACGCACAGGGGAGTGTAAACGCACGGACGTGTGTGTGGTTTGTGTCGTGGCGGGAGGTCCGTTTGTTTGCGTGATGATCATGTGTGTGACGTTTGAGGCACACATACTGATTGCATCATTGTACATTGCACATTGTATCATACATTGCACTGATACATGAGGCATATTGTGATGAGACGTCCCAGGATAGCCAAGTCACGGCTATAAAGCGCCTGTCTCTCAGGACTGTCTCGCACCTGCCTGACAATCCGTCACTCGGCAGTCCGCTGTCTGACAGTCCGTCGCTCAGCTGTCAGACGACGACCCGTGTCAGCCGTGTGCGATCCGTCTTGGTCCACCTCGGGGCGGCAACGGTGGCCCTCTCAGATCGGACACAGCTGCCCTCTCGTTCCCCCTGTGTTCCCTCGTGTGACGGCGGCGCTTCTGAATGGCAGGCGGCAGAGACCGATCTCCTGTGTTCCCCCTGTTCCCTCTGTCTCCCCGTGTGACGGTTGTCGGCGGTTGACAGGCGGCTGAGACGGAGCTGGGCATCACGCGTCTGCTGGACCCCGAGGACGTGGACGTGCTACAGCCGGACGAGAAGTCGGTGATGACCTACGTCGCCCAGTTCCTGAACAAGTACCCCACTCCGAGCTCACTCAGACAGGTCAGTTGGCTGCGGGTGAACTGTGGCGTGGCCCAGTTCCCCGCTCCGAGCTCACTCAGACAGGTCAGTTGGTACTGTGGGCGAGCTGTGGCGTGGCCTAGTTCCTGGACAAGTACCCCACTCCGAGCTCACTCAGACAGGTCAGTTGGCTGCGGGTGAACTGTGGCGTGGCCCAGTTCCCCGCTCCGAGCTCACTCAGACAGGTCAGTTGGTACTGTGGGCGAGCTGTGGCGTGGCCCAGTTCCTGGACAAGTACCCCGCTCCGAGCTCACTCAGACAGGTCAGTTGGCTGCGGGTGGACTGGCGCGTGGCCCATGGTTCCTGAACAAGTACCCCGCTCCCAGCTCACTGAGACATGGGTCAGTTGGTGCTGTGGGGCGAACTGTGGCGTGCTAGGACTGATGTTAGAAGGGCCAGGCGATGAGGGAATGTGGGAGGGCTCGCACACCCATTGACCTCGATGAAGGACGGTGCATAACCGGATCACGGCGGTATATTCAGGCAGATGATCCGATTGTGGGCTAAGCTGGCACGATTATATCTGTGGTACGCTAAGCATATTAGACATAATAGGTGTTTCGTGCATCATAAACAGGTATGCCGTCGGTATGTTACGTGGCCCCGTTTTATGGCCAGGTATGCCTTGCACATTTAAGTCCACAATAGACGATATCAGATAAAACAGGCTTTGAAGTCCTTGCATTCTGCAAAGTGCAATGACAAAGGATGAACGAACCAAGGCCATAAGAACGAACGACCTTGTGCCATTTATTGTTTGGGTTATCGGAATGGTAAATAGCCGTTACCATAGAATAGTTCTAAGGCCCTTAGTCGTTCCGTAAATTCCGCCAATAAAAGAACATGGTTATCGAAAAGGATCATTCTGGATATTTGGATTCCACTAAATTCTTATCCATTGTTTCCTGTCATGATTTGGTGCAACAGTAGGACGTCTACTTTTCCACATACCTATTGCATAATCCGGGAAAAGCGAGCCGTACGATTGTTAGCTTGTCACGGTCTGTTGCTGGCCACGTGTCCGGCCTGGATAAAGACGGTGGCACACGACACGAGGATGACAGGGATGTCAGGTCACGGATCGCGACAAAAACACGAATTCCGCTACCGTGTCACCGGCACCGGCGGCCGACAGGGAGTCAGGGACCGAATGACAATCGGCAAACGGCCGAGCCGACCGGTCCCGGCCTAGGGATTCGACGGTAGCGGATGATATGGGATGAGATAGGGGCTCAGGCTGTAATCTGGAGATCAAAGGAAGGATTGAATTGGCATTGGCAGTGTTCATAGCCTTTCACTTCCCCATCGGCTATCGTTTAATGTATCATCTTATCTAGCTTGTCTAGTTGAATGCATTATCCGGTGCGTTCTGGAGTGTGTTATTGGATCGTTGCCGCAGTGCCTGTATATCTTCGCAATTCGCATTCATGCCCGTGGACCGCCGAATGCCCGAACATGGAGCCAAAGCCTACCCCGCGGCGCTGTGACGATCCCCGTGTTTCCCTTCAGACGGCGACCGGCGCCTCCCCAGCCGGACCCACCCAGCAGGTGGAGGAGATCACCGTCTGGGTCATTCGGACCATCCGAGTCATACGAAACATCAAACTGCCCGACAAAGACAGCTTCGAGGTGAGGCTGCCACCGCGGGATGGGCTTGCGTGTGATCGACGAGTTATAGCTACCGAATGATGTACAAGTAGGTAAATGAATTGCCGCTGTTGGATTATTGGATTATTAATTAGTAATTAATAATCCGTTGGAATATTAACTAATGGATTGTCCTTACTCCTTACTTTAACATGGATAAGATAATAGTATCTTACGATGAGTACCTACTATCTCAATCATGAGTTTAATAAGGATTCAATGGTTAACCCGGCGGCCGCCTGGGCCTCCGCGCCACCCGCCGGCCGCTGGGGGGGGGGGGGGCATATAGTTGCCCACCCTTTACTTCTGCAACGATATCGTCGCAACGCGAAGAGATAGAGAAGCGAAACTTTGCACACATCTTCCTGAATACCTAGCCGAGGTTGTGTCCAAATTTGGTGTCGATCCCATTTGAAATGACGTCACAGTGACGTCATAAGTGAAATTATAGATTTGCGACTCTCATATTCCTCACGGTACATCAGATATATGGGACCGAATATAAAGGGTCGATTATTGGTCAGAAACTAGATGGAAGTGTAGTTAGCTGTTTTAGGATGACAGCAGGTGCTGTCTAGTTCATTTACAGTTGAGTTTCATGCTCAGCGTCATCAGAAACGGTCCATATCGGAGAACGACCAAACTTTATGACGTCACTGTGACGTCATCTTAGGTGCTACAACCACCAAACTTTCCTCAAACATTGCCTAGGTATTCATTTGAAGCTATGCCAAGTTTCACGTTCGTAGCTCATCAGGTTTAGGAGATATTTCACAAAACGTAAAGGGAGGGGGCAACTTTATGCCCCCCCCAGCGGCTCGTGGGTTAATGCTTCCTAGAACGACGGTTTCTTACGCTGAAATATATACTTAAGCGTTTTATAACGAGCTGGCTCAGTATTTTACAGTGGACTGTTGATTCGCTATCCCCACTGTTCGAGCAGTGGGCTCGCCCGGTGACGCCCGTCCCCGTACCGTCCCACAGAAGTTCCAGTCGACGCGCACGGAGGCGACCGATCGCCGGCGTCGGTTCGACGAGCTACGACCCGAGGCGGGAGACGTACCGGCAGAGACGTGGGAGAGAGCCGAGGAGGACTGGAGCACACTGGATACACTGGTGAGAATGCAGGAGAGAGGGAAGAGGACTGGAGCACACTGGACACACAGGTGGGGACGGGAGGAGAGAGAGAGGGAGGACTGGAGGACACTAGGCACACTGGTGAGGGACGGGAGGGAGAGTGGAGGGGGACTGGAGCTCACGGGACACACTAGTGAGGACGGGAGGGATGGGAGGAAGGCTAGAGTAGCCTGGACACTAGTAGGTAACGGAATGGAGAGGGGACATGAGGAAAATAATCAATTGGAACAAATATCAAAATTTTAAAGTTACCATAATGGGATCTGGGGAAGTGTTCGGCGCTCGCGTTTGTAGACATTGACCTGTCAGTGTTTTCAGTTCGTCATGGATATCGGATAGGCTTGCCATCCTTTTTTTTTACTTTCTGCTTATTCATGTGACTCTCACCTCTCAAACAAACTCCGCGCACCGGTAGCGGTAGAGCGTTTATGACGTTGTGTCAGTGAAGCCTGATGCTGTTCAGTGTTCATCAAGTGTGACTCCGTTTTGTCGAGTATGACGCAGCTGTGTGACGCTGTGTGATGCCATGACGCTGTGTGACACTGTGACGCTGTGCGACACTGTTTGGCGCTGTGTCCCGGTGTGTGTCACAGCTGTGCGGCGCTGTAGTGACGTGTCGCTATGCTGACGCGACTCTCCTCTCCTTCAGCTGCTGGAGTGGCAGACATACCTGGACTCTCGCCTACCCCCGCCCCTGCTCGGCGTGGCCGAGTGGGTACAGAAGGCCGAGACGACACTGGCAGAGGCCGAGGATCCGGCGGTGACGGCCCCGGCGCGACGCCTCTCACAGACCGTCACCGTCATCCTGGAGGAGCACACGGTACTGGTGGAGTGCCCGCGGCCGCCGCGCGCCGCCGCCGCCGCCGCCGCCGCCACCACCGCGCCGCCCCCGCTGCTCGTGCAGAACTAACGCCCCCGTCCCCCGCCGAACACCGACACACGCCGAATCTCAGCACCGCGCACAGCCGACACACTATAGCCGAGGGTCTAGACAGGTAGATCTGCTTATCATGGTGATAGCGGCAATTTTCTATTCCATGTTTATTTGCTTTATATCTTACGCATTTTAATGCACGTTGCTTCTTATGAATTATTTTTGGATGCCTTTTTTCTTTCATGAGATTTGAGTGGGAGATAGGCTTGTTGGAAGCCGTCGAAGGGTGATCAGATGTCAAAGGTTGTGCGTTCAAGGCTGACCAGGATCGGAGTTTTGCCGTTCCTTGCTTCTGTCTTATCCTAAGGTGTGAGTTACTAGAAGATCTACGGAAGCTGCATGCATCGTCAAATAATATAACGTCCTTTGAATCTGATGACAATAAACAGTGAAAAGCACGCGTTTTTCTGTTTTGTTTTGATCGGTTTGCATGCTTTGTCAGATTTTGCGTAGCGGCTCGGAGGATGTAGCATGCAATGCACATGCATGGATCGCACAGAGCTAGAATTAGAATTTGAAGTATTATGATCACACTGCACAGTGCACCTTAAACTGAGGTGAACTGAGGCCTAAATCCGTGCTATAGGTATGTGGCAAAAAGACTGATAGTCGATTTTTAGGCTTGGTTTATGATGCTATTACAAAGCAAAGCTCATGTGCATGCCTGCGCATAGTAACTAGATAGAAACTAAGTCCGCACAGTGGACGCACAGTGGACGGCGGTCTTGCCTTTTGCGTAACAGTAGCAATGGTAAGACGGACTCCCTCGCCAAAAATTACTGATTGATTTACAATTAAATTCAAGGTGAGATTGTGACGGTTATAACTTAATATGTCCGACATAATTGGTTAGCCCCAAAAAGAAAATCACTTAGCTGGGGAAGCACAAAAGCATGAAACGATCCCATAAAAGGAGGGCTGAAATGCGTCTAATCTCAGCTGGAGCAGCATGCTAATTCTCATGCCGTGCTTGCTCGCTAACAATAGATAACTAACAATAAATAAGCAGAATGATCATAATGACCGATTAATTTGTTACAAATAAAATCGAGCACGCCAGCAAGTTTACTCAACATCGGCGCATAGGTACCCACTTCCTTCAAACACATTAGGAGAGCATTTTAAGCTTATGAAATACTATTATGCGGCAAGCACACGGTATCCATGGACGCCCCACCGACACCAAAAGGCAATGCTTTGCGTTTCGATTAAGGATTAGCTGTACTATCTGAGACATACATACAATTTACTTTTACTCGGCGGATATTTCCTACATCCGTTTGGCTACTACCTAGATGGTTACGTGAAACTTGCTCCTCACTTCACCAGTCATCCAATTTTATTTACAACTGAACATTGCCAACGAAGATGTCATCACACTGGCTAGCTTGTCATCACGGTCGGCCATTTTCCACTCACAGACTCTGGGAGCTGCATATCGCCGTAAGTGAGACAGGGGAAGGCGAGCGGTCGGCCTATAGGGTCCCGGGCGGTGGTGGCATTACTGTGTGCTTATCTCCGCCTGTTCTAACACCCGTGCTGCTTCTGCGACTAACACTAAAAGACTGTGCCATGCCATGTCAATTTCAGTGTTGTCTTCTGTGCACCTGTAGCTAGGCTTCATGAACTTTGCGAATGCCGTGTAGCTAGATTCCTCCCTATCCGCACAGCCGTTCTTGCTTGTCCTTTTAGCTGAGATCGCTGAGATATCCTTCTCTGCACTTCCATCCAGCCTGTCCTCTGCTGTGCATACTCGCCGTGTCTTCTCTCCCGCCTCTATCCCCCGCTCTGATCGCGGTTGATCTGACCTGCTGACCCCGTCTGACCCCGTGTGACCCGTCTGACCCACGGCAGACGTTCTTCTCGGCCCTGCCGGCGGTCGAGCGGCGCCTGCGCTCGGCACGTGCCGCTCCCGTGGCCTCTCGCGTGCCGCCGCGGCAGCTACAGCTGCTGGATAGAAGGCTGCAGACGGCCCGGACTGGAGCCGTCCAGCGCGCCGCCCGGCTCAACTATGTGGTGCACAGGGTGAGGACCGGGGGACGGAGAGGGCATCGGAGAGGGGTGGGGTGGGAGTTGGGACAGTTAGGTTTATGAGACCAGTAGGAAATACACTACATGAGTCCCTCTGGCCTGGAGCCGAAGTCAGGAATAGAGCCACAAGCCCTCGTGTCTTGCAAAACGGACATCATTTGCAGTACGGAAGCAGCTCAAGGGAAAATTCACTGTGAATGTAGACTTTCGTCAGGTGAACATTGTCTAACCTCAAGTCTGGTTTATTTTTAGTGTTACGCTGGTGAAATTAGTATTGTTGCTCCATTCATCGCTACTCTATGTCATTGCTCGCGGTGATTGGCAGCTAGCTAAGCTTCCCTCACGTGATCTGGCACATAATCTGGCAACACCTACCACCACCGTGTCGTTCGGCCGTCAGCACTGGCAGAGTGACATAGTCGGTCCTGTCCGCCAATTGGCCGCTGTTTTCATATCGCTGCACAAACACTGGCAGTTCACTGTGCGTTGAAGGTGCAGCGATCTGCCGCGGACCGAGTTCCATTGAAAATAACCTGCATCTCAACTCGGCGCAGACTCGCCCTACGATCATGTTTCGAATAACATCCCACATCTGAAATCTGCCAGCATGATGCCACGTCAGCACTGAGCTCATCAAAGTATCGTGTTTTTTTACACAAACTTCAAACAAGTTCACTGATGAGTCGCTCTCGGTCTCTCGCCCAGTGACCACCCACACTCGGCGGTCGCTAAAGGTCTCACAAATAAACACAGGGTGCGCGGGTGACACGTCGGAGCGCGGCCCGGGTCCGGTGGCTCCCCGTTCACTGGGGTGGGCTGGGGACCGACGGGCTGGTGCAGCCTCCAGTGGTCCTCGGGGAGGCCTTGCAGGGGAGGTCGGGGCCCGTCAGTGACCAGACGGGACTGGGGAGGCGGTCAGGGAGTGGCGTAACTGGTGAACTGTGCTCTGTGACAGTGACTGTTCTGCTTCTCTGATAGCAATTGTGATTCAGTGTCGGTGTGTTCCCATTGCTGTGGAGTTTGATGGTCTCTTGTCTGCCTCGAGGTGGTATCATTATAAGTTTATCCCGTCCGTTCTCATTACTCGCTGATGTAAATGTCGAAGTTTGGCATCAAAGTTTGACAGTAATCTCCATTACCTTCGTATTCTGTAACCTTTTCTCGACTCCCCAACCGCCAACATTTCGAGCTTGCTCAATCTTCTCACGTCCACATATTTGTATGACGTACCCCGAGTGACCCGCCCTGTGTGACCTGCCCTGTGACCTACCCTGTGACCCGCCCTGTGAGTCTGTATGACCTGCCCTCTGACCCCTATTCCGTACCGGGTCACCACTCACCTCACTGTCGTCGAGGAGACGGTCCTGTGACCTGTGATCTGCCCCTCTGACCCGCCCTGTGGCCTGTTTGTATGACCTCTCTTCCAGTACCGGGTCATCACCCACCTCACTATCGTCGAGGAGACGGTCCGCGTGTGGGCGGTACGGCTGGCGCGGCGCGTCCCCGACCCCCAGCAGGCGGCGGAGGCAGCTGAGCTGGTGGCCGACGGCGGGCTACTGAGGGACTTTGACCGGCCGCTGCTGGACATGAGACGGGCTACTGAGACACTGGTCACCGACGGTGGCATTTGTGAGTGAGAGAGAGAGGGAGAGAGAGAGAGAGAGAGAGAGAGAGAGAGAGAGAGAGAGAGAGAGAGAGAGAGAGAGAGAGAGAGAGAGAGAGAGAGAGAGAGAGAGAGAGAGAGACAGAGAGAGAGAGAGAGAGAGAGAGAGAGAGAGAGAGAGAGAGAGAGAGAGAGAGAGAGAGAGAGAGAGAGAGAGAGAGAGAGAGAGAGAGAGAGAGAGAGAGAGAGAGAGAGAGAGAGAGAGAGAGAGAGAGAGAGAGAGAGAGAGAGAGAGAGAGAGAGAGAGAGAGAGAGAGAGAGAGAGAGAGGAGGTAGAGGGGAGAGAGGAGATGATGTAGAGGAGGGCAAGAGCCGGGAGGTGACATGCGTCGTGAGGGACTGGGCGCGGTCGGTCGATTGTCAAATTGACTCAAATCTCAGTCACAGGTTTGAGGATGATCTGATAAGTGTTCCTTGGAGAGATTTAGTTTGCCGAACCGACCGACTGATGTCTGTGGAATGGTCGTACTTGCAGAAGTACATAAACATAAGTATACCATCCAGTGCGGATGGTGGTATCAGTCAGTTTCAGAGAGTGGTGGGCTAGGATGTCCTATTACTGTCATTGCTGTAATATGAACTGGAACACTAGACCTCAGTGATGTCATTGCGAGCGGAACAGGTATGCGCGACGCAGATTCAGTTGCAGTGATAAAGCTTCCGTTGCACGTCAGACAATAGACCCATTAATCTGATACGTCCAGGGCCAGCTTTATCTATGCAGACTGCATTATGCTTGTTATGGACCGGTGCCAAAGTTTGCAGACCTCATTCAGTACATCAACATTGACCTTGATGTATTCAGATTCATCAATCCAAGCACCAAACTCTTCGTAATTCTCGAACTTTTAGCACCCCTTTAAGATAATGTTGTTCAGTTGAACAAGGACATGAAGTATGAATTGCGCCATGCATGAATGCAATTTATCCCAAGGAAAGTTACTACGTGGTAGTTGGAATGAAGGTAGACAGGGTGAAGGTACTGTGTACTGTAGCTACTTACAGTAATCTTCGTTCTGTGACGCTGATCCCACATTTCCAGCCACGGAGGAGAAGGCGGCAGCCACCCAGTTCGTTGACAAGGTCACGGCCAAGTGGCAGCCGCTGTCGGCAGAGGTCCAGTCGCTGACATACATACTGGAGGAGGTGAGCAGACGCGCAGCGCATCAGCGGGGCGTGGGTAATGATAGTTTGATGTCGCTTTGACAGGTGCCGTGCTTTATTAGCGCTTTACTCATAAGTCATATCCATATGTGAAGTTAATTTTGTCGTGCTTGAAGCAATGTGTGTGGTCTCAGCAAAAAGAAAAAACAGTATGTCAATCGACATAGCCTGCTCTGAGAACCATATTTTCATCGACGTAAGGACCTTGGCGGGTTATCCAACTAAGTCGCACCCATTTTGTCGCCGCCAGATGTTGGTGGACGTGAAGAAAATGACGCCGGCGATGACCAACCCAGAGGCAGAGGAGCAGCAGGTAGGTGTGGGAGTCGCACTGAACTGGTGTAAATGGCGTGGGGGTGGTGGAATGGAGTAGAACGGGCGGAGAGTGGGGCCGGTACGGATGTCTGGCCATTATCCGGAATGAATTCCGCATTCCTGCTGCTAGAGCTGACATGCAGAGCTGTTACCCGCTCCTATCCAGGGGTTCCTCAGAGTCGCACACCATTGCGACTCTGTCCGTTGCAGACGTTATTGATGTGTTTGCAGCCGAGGGCCCGAGGGTCGTCCCCAGTACACAGGCACTCACAGAGACTGCGCGCAAAAACAGTCTCCATTCATTACTGAGAGCCGCGGAGAGGGTCCTGTCACGGGACAGGAGGGGGGGGGACGGTACCACAACACCTGGCACTGTGCAGGGATGCGCAGAGACGGCTCATTTGTTAGGTAGCGCAGACTGCCGGCAGTCGGCACCTCGTGGCGACTTCGCTGCCACCTACTGGGTAAGTGGTGAACCATCCGTCCTCGTCTGGAGACGGAAGAGGCTGATCTCGGAGTGCCCAGCCCCAACCCAACTGATGTCTTGGGATGCCGAAACCACAGACACTAGCCTTACAGCTCGTACATCAGTACACGAAGATATTCCGTGACTGATAGCAAATCAGGGAAGCGTAACACCAGCTCAGGATAACGTAAGATAGAAGCTTCTACCGGCAAGTGTATGTATGTACTTTTGGTAAGCAGTTCCCAAACATGTGCCCGAGTTTCCAGTGTTCCATTACTGCTATTTGCTCAGCCACACGCTCTCCACACATCTGCTCAATATCTCGGTGTTTGCTGATCGGCGTATCTCCCCAATCTGTGACGGATCAGGTGCCGAGCCATTAGAGTGGTAGTCGGTAGATCGAGCACTTTTACCGTGCGAACACCACAAAAGCTCGCGACTGGTAGTGGTATCTGTGAATCGACATTGTGTACTACACATTGTGCGCGCCGGGGGACAAAGGAGATTTGCACGGTACGCGCCTGACCCGGTGTCACACCTGTCTTAGCATCTGCGCACGTGAACCGGTCAGCACTGCATTCACTGTCGCAATGCGAACAATACCTGGCGACATTCTGGTAAACAGCGAAGCACGTGCTTGGGTTAGTGCGTGTGTTTGCTCTGCCAATTTGACACCTGTTCTGTGGTGCTGTCTGAGTGATTCGAGCACAGTCGCGACGTTTCACGGACGGACGCTCCGTTCAGTAACGATACGTTCTGTGACGCAAAGTTATGCGATCTTCCGTTCCGTGACACGTTTTATGACATAACGTACCGTAGGCGGGAGATAAATTATTTCCTGTCCCATTCGAGCTATGCATTGGACTTCAATCGCTCTCACAGGGTCGCAATCAGGCTGGAAGGACAGATGAACCATGGGACGTCGTTCTCACAGGGCTGCAACTATAGCTACGCCGGCAGGCCAGAGAAACCTTGTGACGCTGCTCTCACAGGCTCGTCATCAGGCTCCAAGGGACAATCTGTGACAACTGCAGACCTCCGCTGTCATCTCACATAGCGTGACGTAATAGGACACAGCGTGTCACCAAGAGTGACACAGTGTGTCATCATTTACACGGTCCGACGGCGCCCGGCGAGCGACATTTATGTATTCCCCACCATGACTCCACTGCACCTCGGCTCCAAGATATAGTAGCTGGTCGCCCATACAACGATGCTCGACCATTAGTTCCTCGTCTGTTTGCACTTTTTCACTTCATTTAGGTATTTCATCAATTTCACATAACTATGTAAAAGATACACGCTCAATGCAGATCGATCTCTCACGACTCGTCTGGTTTTGTACAATCGCTGCTGTCTGTCTCTCTACTCACGGCTGCTCGATGTCCACAGGTGGCCCTCCCAGAGGCGGTGCTGGCTCCGGTGACCCGGCCTCAGGACGGAGAGGAGGTCACCCAGTCCACGGACTTGATGACGGACCTGGACGGCATCATCAGTCAGCTGGAGGGTCTGCAGGAGCGTGTCACCGGACTCAAACAGGTGGCAGAGGTCCGGCAGCAGCGCAACAGAGAGGTCAGTTGGGGCAGCGGGACAGCACTGGCGTGGTGTACTGCATACTTTATAGGTTAGCCAAACCATGGATGAAAGAAACTTATCCTTCATCCATGGCCAAACCATTGCTCAGCCGCACGTTAGGTAATTGTGCTCAAAACTGTACGATTTAAGTCAATTTGGCTGCAGCTCGTCCTTTACCGTACAACTATGTGAGTTTCACATCACTCGCCCTCCCCCACTTGCTCAGGCGCTGGCGAAATCCACCCAGCCGAGTCCGTCATCCCCTGAGGCAGCAGACGTGGTTCCTGCACCTGAAGACAACAGCACAGTGGACGCGGGTCGTCCGGCCGCTGTCCTAGAGAGCGCTACGCCTGTCCGAGCTACAGAGACAAAGGTGAGACGCGCACGTAAACGAACGGCTGCGAATCTGTGAGTGAATTCATCTGGCAGGGAGATACGTGCCTGTTCAGAGCGTACCGCCCGCAGGCGAGTGAGCGTATGCTGTAGGTAGTAACATAATTTTATAGGTGGGGTTGGCGCACTGCTTGGTGAATGGTGATACAGTGACCGAAGTGCGGTGATGTGTGTTCGTTGCTCATCTGTGAACTTTTTTGATCCAATGAGTTACAGTTCGAGTATCGGCGAGCAGCATTTGAGTTAAATTTAGCAGTCTGCTGGCAGCCATAAAGCTTGGTGACGTCATCAAGGGTTCAGCATTCATGCCAACAACCTGAAGTTTCATCTTCAGCTTCCGACTCATCAACCACATCCCGCATGGTCTAGTGGCTAGGATACACGGCTCTCACCCGTGAGGCCCGGGTTCGATTCCCGGTGCGGGAACAATTTTGACCTCTTGACTAGGGGTTTTCTCGTCGGTTGGAAGTAGAGGTGGCAAAATGTGGACCCGAGGACCCGGTCCAAAGAACCAGTCTGGACCCGTATGAGTCCTGACCGGTTCCTGGAAATTTTCTGACGGGTCCAACCGGGTCCTACCAAAACTATAAATCTGGCACACTACACACCAGTATAACGCCTTTTGGGGCGACTAACGGAGCGAGCGAGAGGATGGGCCTTGCACGTGCGAAATTTCGAGGGGGTACCTCCAACTGAATTGTGCACGGCACCTTACTAACCGGTCTCTAGCGATGTGCCAATTTGAGCACAATCGGCCCAGCCATTCTCGAGATCTGGAAGCGGCACCCTGCACGTGCGCACGTGCAAAATGGGTCCCAACTGACTTGTGCACGGCACCCTCCTAACTGGTCCCTAACCGTGTACCAAATTTGAGCACCATCGGTCCAGCCGTTCTCGAGATCTGGAAACGACCCCTGCACGTGCGCACGTGCAGCAGCACCCCAACTCTGGCACATGGATATGCAGTGCTTAATGGGTACCTACCTACATGCCAACTTTCAGCGCAATCGGCCAAGTAGTTACCGAGATATTGCAACAATTACAAAACTGACACCTCTTCGTTTTGCACGTGGCACGTGCATAAGGGGTCACCCACATGCATCGGGAATAGTCCAATACTTGGTAGAAGGAATGAAGCTACCCTCAAAATTTACCACATGTAAATCGGTCAAGTGGTTGCTGAGATATAAGCCTCGCAAAAGCGTCCGCACGGCCGGCCGGCCGGCCGGCCGCTCATACTAAGAAATTTCCGTTAAAGGGACACTCCCACCTTAACACCAGTATAGCGCCTTTTGGGGCGACTAACGGAGCGAGCGAGAGGGTGAGCCTTGCACGTGCGAAATTTCGAGGGGGTACCTCCAACTGACTTGTGCACGGCACCCTACTAACCGGTCTCTAGCGATGTGCCAAATTTGAGCACAATCGGCCTAGCCGTTCTCGATATCTGGAAGCGGCACCCTGCACGTGCGCACGTGCAGAATGGGTCCCAACTGACTTGTGCACGGCACCCTACTAACTGGTCCCTAACCGTGTACCAAATTTGAGCGCCATCGGTCCAGCTGTTCTCGAGATCTGGAAACGACCCCTGCACGTGCGCACGTGCAGCAGCACCCCAACTCTGGCACATTGATATGCAGAACCTAGTGGGTGCCTACCTACATGCCAACTTTCAGCGCAATCGGCCAAGTAGTTACCGAGATATTGCAACAATTACAAAACTGACACCTCTTCGTTTTGCGCGTGGCACGTGCATAAGGGGTCACCCACATGCATCGGGAATAGTCCAATACTTGGTAGAAGGAATGAAGCTACCCTACAAAAATTACCCCGTGTAAATCGGTCAAGTGGTTGCTGAGACATAAGCCTCGCAAAAGCGTCCGCACGGCCGGCCGGCCGGCCGGCCGGCCGCTCATACTCAGAAATTTCCGTTAATCTAAGGAAAGACTACGCTCGCTTCGCTCGCTCCGTAATTAGTTTTGAGTTGAGATCACTGAACTCTAATATATACGTTGAGATAGCCAAATTGGTGGCCATGGCCTGCAAATACCGGTTTGGGCACTCACAACATCGACAAATGCTTTAATTCGGAGATATGGAATTTCAAACTTGCAGTTTTCGGATTCTAAGGGGCTAGTGCATTGGTATGCCCTTAATTGACTTTTGGGGAACGGGTCCAACTGGTTCCGATTCCAACTAAGATCGGGTCCGACTGGTTCCAGAAATGCCCAGCCGGGTCAAGTCCGTGTCTGGTTCCCAAAATTTTCATCTTTTGCCACCTCTAGTTGGAAGGGATTTTCATGTCCCAACGTCGGGACCTTCAGAGCGTGACTTTTTCTGGTTTCCTTGCCTTTAACCCGCGCCCTGGTGGGGTCTGTTTATAACGCGACCTGGTGGGGGGGGGGCTATTTTTGCCCCCCCCCCCTCGTATCTCCGAAACTACTAGACGGATCCGCAAAATTCAAACGGCGTTCGATAGCCCTGTCAAATTTGTCGGGGGAAACCAAATTTTATTGACCTCGGGGTCACCGATGACGTCACAGGTCAGGTCAAAGATAAAATGTTTCACCGTTCACGGGGCTTCTAGGGAAAGCGCTATAACACCGAGTAAAACGCATTTTGTCGAAAATCAGCGATAAGACGTCAGTTGTCTAGTACATATGTTGCTATTAGAGGTCACTGGTCATACCAGGTCAGGTCACAGGTCAGGTCACAGGTCAGGTCACCAAAGGTCACCAAGGGTCACCACATGAACCCAACTTTACTAAGGTTGTGCGATGCATGTTTTATGGCCAGTTTTTCATTTCCAACCCAATGGTGTTGGTTATAAGACCATCAGGTACGGTTTAGGTCACTTTCTGGTGGAGGTCAGGTCAAGGTCAGGTCAAAAAAGGTCAAATTTCAAAGTTTATATTTTTGCATAAAATGGGTATCGATTCGATGCAGCTCGTCACGGGGAGTCTAATGGTGGTCTTTGTTTTGCACTACGAGGTCTAGAATTGCTAAAAATTGAGTTTGAAATTTGACGTCATCAATTTTGAACATTTTTTTCGCTATAACTTCGCCAAAAAAAGAGGTATCAATCTAAAATTTGGTATGTGGATGGAAGGCGGTAAGGACTATCACATATATTCCGGTTTTTGCGAAATTCAAAAAACTTTTTGGATTTTTTGACTATTATATCCCAAAAATCTATTTTTTGATTTTTGGGGGTCAAAATCAAAAAAATTCAAAAATCCGAGATAGCAGTTTTGTAGCCCTGTCAATTCTACAGCTTTTATGTCCTAAACATTTTTCTGTATTTGCAAAGCTATAGGCCTGACAGCTCTTCCCGCGAAACCCTTTTTTGGGTCGAAAACGGCAGAACATGACGTCACTCTGACGTCATTTCCGGCCAACCTATCATAGCTGTTGGAAAAATTTTTGGTCACAATGTGTAAAATTGATGTCCGGGAGGGTACTGAAAGTTTGGTGACGATCGGCGCAGCGGTTCTGGAGATATATCGAAAAGTCTGGAGGGGGGCAAAAAATAGCCCCCCCCCCCACCAGGTCGCGGGTTAAGGCGAGGAAGAAAGCTACTAAAAGTTGCTCAAGTCTGCTAGTCAAATCATGTAAGGACGATGTATGTGACCTCTCATTGATTTTTTCCCGACTTTCCATGCTTAAATTTGTGCTACCTATGGCACCAGTAATCAGTATCTACTGGACTACTTTGCTAACGCTCTAATAAATAATGCCCAAACACAGGCCTATAACTGCGACATGCTGATGTTGGTACTGGTGGCCTGTTCACTTGGTCCATAAGGATAGTGAGAGCGACCCTCTGTCCCTGTCAGTGTAGTCGTCAAGCTTAAAGTGCAGCACCCAGTTCAGCGTTGCTTCTGTGTACACCATCCCTCTCCAGCACCATCAACACCACAGTCGTCTGAGCTCACTGAAGACCCACCCGCACAGTTACCAGAACGTCTCCTATATGTAAACTGCTCCCATCGTCACCTAACGGCGCCCCCTTCCCCACAGCCCGTCCAGTTGCCGCCGTCCGAGACTGAGGGACTGTCCGAGCCCGCAGACAGCTGGGCCCGGTTCTCCGCGCTCCAGCAGAGAGTACAGCAGTGGCTGCAGCAGCACGAACCACTGGTCCAGCAGCCGAGAGTGATCAACTCGCTGGACGAGCTGAATGACCTCCTTGCCCGGCACCAGGTCAGATGTGGGGAGCAGGCACGCCAGATATGGATGGGGCAGGTAAGTACCAGGTCAGATATGAAGGACAGACACTAAATCAGATAATAGGGGGCAGGCACCAGGTCATACGCTGGTCGTAGGCATCAGGTGCCATAGACTAGGGTACAATACAAGTATCAGACCAGATGTGTATATGTAGGGTAATAGGCACCAGGAAAATGTAAGGGACAGGGAGCAGGCACCTAAGCAGAATATGTAGGGGGCAGCACAGGCGCCGAACCTTTGGAGCAGTGGAGGGTGATGATTCTGGCTCCTTTATGGGGTGAGACTAAATGCTTACTTCGAAATCTAAGCTGCGTTGCGGCATTGGCGGTTATGTGCGGCGTGTATGCCGCATGATTAGTAAGCGGCGACCACTAAATTAAAAATTCAATAGCTTCGACCTGTTTTCAATGGATAACACTGCATACCAAAAATGTCCATCGCTCTCGTCATAGGATATTTAGATTTAAATAACTAACTTATCTACATCATTGTTTTGAACCAAATTAATACTCAGCCGCGAACGTATAAGGTATAACCCCTTGCCGTTTCGCTCCTGATCAAGCTAGAGCTTCGCGGAAAGAAACGAGCGTGTTGCCCGTGACGAGAGAAAGCCGATGATACCCAATTTTAAGGTCCTAGGTTATCGGTTGACCTTCCAGGTCAGGTCAATGACCCAAAAGGCGGGAAAATTGGGACCTGTTAGAACGTCGTAGTGTGGCTGCTATGGGGTTTTTCGGGGTGCTGATCACGAACATCATGCTAGTTTTGATCACAGATGATGTCTTCATTCATTTAGGCCAGGTCGGGTTAGGTCAGGTCAGGTCAACCAGTAGAGGTCCTGCCAGGTATTTGTAGTAGGTGTCAACCGCCTCTGACAGCCTCGTAACATGTTACGAAGGCACCAAAACTACTTTGTAAACGTTCATGTGGTTGCTTAATTCGAATTCAGCTCGAAAAAAACTGACCTAGAAACATGTCAAACTCGAAAAAGTGAACCGAGGTCACCAAAGGTCAATGACCTGACCTGACCTTCAGGTGACCTTGACACCCACCCTAATGCATGGGGGCAACATCATATCACATGTTTGAACGCTTGAAACCACGAAAAGACTGCAAACGCGCTGCTAATGCGAGCCGACATACGCTGAATCGCGGTTCCGGCCAAACATGGTCTCGAAAAGTAGGTCACAGGTCAAAGGTCATTTGGGTCAGGGTCATGAAATTTTCAGGATGGGTGTTAAATTGATCAATGCGAGGGTACTGAAAGTTTCGTCGCGATCAGCCGCTTTTTAAGCGAGTTATTCGCGAAAAACCTTAGGGGGGTTGCATCAACCCCCCCCCCCTGTGCGGGCGAGGTCATGTTTTGATAGCAAGACTGAAACAGACTTTTTTGGGTAGCCAGGAAATCGCATGCCAGAGCCTATTCAAATTCTTTTATCGGCCTTTATATGCACCAGTCGCATACAGGTACGGGATTTAGCATACGATTTCCAGACAATCGAACGACTGTTTGGAGACAACAAAGGAAGCAATGAGTGAGTTAAGTTGAAAGTATTAATTTGGTTCAAAATGATGATGTAGATAACCTAGTTATTTAAAGCTGAATATCTTATGACGAGAGCGGTTGGCATTTTTGGTATGCAGTGTTATTCATTGAGAACCGGTCGGAGCGTTTGAGTCTTTAATTTAGTGGTCGCCTCTTACTAATCATGCGGCATACACGCCGCACATAACCGCCAATGCCGCAACGTAGCTTAGATTTCGAAGTAAGCATTTAGTCCCACCCTCCTTTATGTACCTAATGCATAGTAGATGTCTGTAGATATCTTTTGGAGAAGTGTCATGCGAATCAGTCTAGTTTTCCATTGCCAAACATGCCAAACATTATATCAGGTGTGTCTGTGCTTTCCAATGAAGCGCTGAAGTTCCTTGTCGCCGTTCTGACCTATGTTTGACCTCTGCGACCTGACTCTGTGCTCTGTCTGACCCTCCCTCCCCTCCTCAGGCCGGTGTGAGCCAGTGTGCCGAGATGACCCGACTCCTCTCAGAGATGACCGCTCTCCAGCCGAGCCTGTCACCGCGCGCGGCCGGGCCGTCCGCCGAACAGCTACTGCGGGACTGCCAGCGGAGGAAGACAGACACGGAGACGGCGCTCAGAAGACGAGTAAGAGGGACGGGAGTGGGAGAGAGAGGAAGGAGCTGGGTGAGAGTGAGGCTGGCGGTGAGAGGGAGGGAGACGGGTGAAAGACTGGGATGAAGATATTCATCTTCATCTTCATCTTCATGATGGATGAGGAGGGAGGGGACGGGAGGTGGGAAGAAGCCGGGTGAGAAGGAGGGGACTGTGGGAAGAGGATTTCCACCGCTATCATTTATTTATCATTATTCCTTTCCAGCTGCCATAATTCTCCCCACCCCTCCATCGACCTCTCTCTGTACCCCTCTGCCATGATTCGCTTACTCCTCAGACAGGAACAGCCTCTCAACCCCTCCTCTCCTCTCTCAGGTGCTGAGTGCTGTGAGCTGCTACTAAATGCCGCCTCTCTTTCATCAGGTGCTGGTGCTGCAGGAGACGCTGGAGCTGTGGCAGCGCTGCGAGCTGCTGATGGTCCTCCCCTCCCCCTCTCAGGTGCTGGTGCTGCAGGAGACGCTGGAGCTGTGGCGGCGCTGTGAGTCGCTGCTGATTTCCCCGTCCCTCCTCAGGTGCTGGTGCTGCAGGAGACGCTGGAGCTGTGGCGGCGCTGCGAGCTGCTGACTCCCCTCCCCCTCCCCCTCTGCAGGTGCTGGTGCTGCAGGAGACGCTGGAGCTGTGGCGGCGCTGTGAGCTGCTGCTCTCCGATGTCGAGGTGTGGTGTTCGGCCGCGGAGACGGAGCTGGGCTCCCCGGCGGCACTGGCTAGCCCCCTGCGCCTCCAGCTGGCTGCGGTACAGCCGCTGCCGGCAGAGATCGCGAGCAGGGAGACAGAGGTCGCCAGGGAGGCCGAGCGACTCATGGTGGGTAGAGGGGAAGAGGGCCAACCGTGTCATGGTGGGTGAAAAGAGAGAAGGGTTGGTAGAGGGAGGAGAGGTGGGGTGTGAGGAAAGGAAAGGTGGGGATAAAGTAGCAAAGGGATGACGAGGAGAGCCGGAGACATAGTTAGATCGAAACAGGGAGAATGCGGCAAGTATGATTAGGACTTCTTGAACAACTTTTAAAACCTAACTGGTGTCGCCTCCTGTAGATGTTCAAACAGCGAACTCTGCGAGCGCATTTTGAGTGAATATCGAATACGAATCTAGCTCTCCTGATATTTTACATGAACTTGTCGATGTTTGACATTGAGCAATGAGCACATTAATTATGGTTGTCATTATGATAAGCTTTAAACAAGCTGTCGCCAAGCGTATACGCGGGATGTGGAAGCTTTAGAAAGCAGCCGCCCGAGTCGCGACTGTAAGGGCGAGTGTGACCTTTGACAGAAACCCGCTTCCGCGTGAATCTTGGTTATGTCTGAATCGTTTGGCTTGTCACCGCTCGCTTGTATATTTTTTCACCCACTTTCAGCATTCGTACTTCCAACTGCCTTCTTCTATTGTTTCTTCATAGCTGTTTCTTCATAGCTGTAGCTGACGCATCAACTGGCCTCACTTTTGACCTCCTAGCTGACTTCGAATCAGGCTCAAACCAACACTGACACTGTCTCCTTTCGTTCTTCCGCAGCTGACCTCTATCCGTCCCCAGGTGACCAGCTCTGTCCTCCGTTCCCATTTGACCTCTGTTCTGCGACTGACCTCTGTCTCTGTCCGTTCCTCAGCTGCTGTTAGGCTCTGAGCAGCTGTCGGGCGCGCTGACGCTCACCTCACGGCGCGCTGAGCTGCAGCAGCTGCTGAGCCAGCTGCACGTGGCGGCCGAGGAGCGCTGCAGCCGGCTGACGGAGAGCCTCGCCCAGCTGGACCGACACAGACAGGTCAGACTCTCGGGCGGATCATTGGGATGGAAGGTCAGACGCGCAGTCTCACACAGGGGCGGAAGGTCAGATGGACCGGCAGACAGGTCAGATGCTCATTTGCTTCACTGCCCTGATCGTCAGTATTGGACCTATGGTAAACAGAGGACGCTGTTCTGAGAAGCTGCGATCCACGCATTTTGGTGAGCGTAGCTGTCTCTGGGCAGACCGTACTGTTTACGAAAAAAAAAAAAATGTGACCATACAGCTATCTCCTCGTGCGATATGCATGCCGAAGCCAAAATTCGCATTTCTTGGAATTTGGTTTGTATTTTCTTCGATGACTGACGTGATCTTCCTTTCTATCGACAGGAAGTGGAGCGTCTTCGAGCTCAGCTGGAGGAGGTCTCGCCTCCCGTCAGAATGGTTCAGACGGAGGTGCTACCAATCACCGTCGAAGCCAGAAAATCAGCTGAAACTGCTGATGGATCTTTGGAGCAGACCGAACCTGCACGAACAGGGACTGAACCTGATGGAGCCAAACCTGCGAAGACAGTACAGCCCGAGCCGGAGAAGGCACAGACGGTTGCTGCTGACAAAGCTCCCGACACAGCGGCTCCCTCCCCCGGCGCCGAGATTACAGTGCCGGTGGAGACGACCACTACTGTAGTGCCACTGAAAACCACCCCGAAGGCGGTCCAGCTGAAAAAGTTCAAACGGCTGGGCACGACAATCGTGAAGAAGCTCAAAAAGCGTCTGAGGTCGGCTCCGGCTGAGGTGAAACCCACGGAGTCTATCACTGCGGAGGTGGACGCGGCTTCTAAAGCGTCCCAGCCCGCCGACACAGCCCAGAACACTGAGACATCGCCTGCACAGCCGACTGGTGTGCCCGAGCCGTCAGCAGGCGGGAAGGCGAGCCGGGTCTCCGAGACACCCGTGAGGCCGTCGCGGACACGGGACACGGCCACAGACCAGTCGCGGACTCTGGATGCGACCACGGATCAGTCGACACTGCCGGCCTCGTCTGAGGTAAGTGTTTCGTACGTCTGTCACGCAATACACACAGGATGCGCACGCCTGTCATCGTCAGAACAAGACGAGACGGTCGTTTGGCGTAGGTTTGTCCACGTTCAATCCATCCGGCGCCCTATGTGGTCAATTGGTTATAGAATGACGTGAATTAGCTTCGAATTATGGAGTCGCCGATTAGTAATGACTTTCATATATGTATAGTTTCACCCTCTACCAAAGCAAGTAGCAATCAGCGTTTTCAATGCCAATTCCAGTTAGCTCAATATGCCACCAGCAGCCATTTCTGTGAATTCAGCCTGTGTGTTTGGCGGCTGCGGGGTATGACGTGCCGCAGTCGTTTGGACGACTAATTTATTCATGAATGCCGATACTCACTGGTGATAGCACAATTGACGTCATCGATGACGGAAAAGTGCTGACTTGATCGGACCTCATCTGTCCTGGTGGTCCCAAGATCTCTATGGTTCCAACCGCAGTTTTGATACGAGTTGCGGGTGCTGAAGCTGTGTTGCCCGCAAGTTTTGAATGGTAGCCTTTAGGTAATAGGCTAGCGGATAGTGCTTGACTAAATTCTGCCATGCATCTTAGATGTATGTTTCCGAAGATTCTTTCCTTCCGTGTAGCGTAGATCTCGTTGCGGCTGATGAATGTGAAATGATGATCTGCATTGTACCACATGCATGCTCAAATGATGAACGTATAACGCAAACATTTTTCATACCATCGTGATTTTTTTTTAATCAGGATAATGTGTGTTATTTTTCATTTATATAGCTGCATAACTTAAAAGACACGAAAAAAGCTCTTCACCCAATATTTTTATTATTGTTTTACGGTTTATGCCTGATGTCTGTTTTCCCTCCAAGCTTTTTCTTGCGCGTGCTAGTCATGTGATGTCTGGCTGGTGTCTCGGTTGGATCATCCCTCGGGATTGAGTGGCTGATGTAACCAGACATTCTCCGGGGAGGGGGTGCTGCACTGAGCAAGAACCGTTGAGTGACGTCAAATTGGCCAGCGAAGAAGAGGGTGCAGACGACAGTGCGGTCATACCGTTATTTCGTCCCCTCCTCCACTGTGTCTAATGGCCTCAACTATACAAATACATGCCAACCATTCAGCCCAACGGTTGGCAACCGCAATTTGGATAACAGTCGCACCACGAGGAGCGCCAGCCTGCAGTGGACGATCCGATATCAGTCTTAAAGGTCAATTGCAAACACCGTCTCCCGAGCATAAATCCACTGCGGAAGCATTTGGACTAACTTACACTAATTGATAGCTCGAACTCTCCAAGTTAAGCCTCCTGGAATTTATCCAACTATGAAGTTCCCGGTACGAGGCTGTTGCAGCCGCCTGATCAAGACGGTCATACGCTCCGAGCCTGTTGCTGAAATTCCCACTACCTCGCAGTCTCGCGAGCTGTGCTTACCGATAGCTGAACGGGGGAGCTGTCCCCGTCCCCAGAGAGCGGGCGCCGGTGCCTGCGGAGCTCCGATAGTGCCGAACGGACCCGCCCCGCGCCCCCAGGGTACTGTTCCTGGGTCACAGCCGCGCTGCTGAGGACGCTCTTTTCATGGGTGACGTAACATGTAAATAATGATGGCAGCGAGCGGCTGAGCGGGCTACCAGGCCCGTCACGGCCGGTGGAGTTTATTTACGGGCCGATCGCCGCCCACTGAACCCGCTCACCATGCTCGACACTCAGTCCCGGCACAGGTCAACGAATAACCACGTCAACACCCTACCATTTCCCTTAGTAGGGGCAACAATCAACATGCAGTCAAAGAAGCGGCCATCAACCGTCTCTACCTACCATGAGTCTAATCCGTTCCCTAACGCTACCAACAGTCACTCACCGTACTTACAACTGTCGGACTTTCATGGCGAGGAGTTGACCCTTGCATTACCTGTTACATTTTATATTATTGAAAAATAACTATTATAATTATATAACATTGCATAACATTTTTCAACACCAAACCCCCGACACATAAACACTCTCCCCCCCCCCCCCCCCCATACACACAGACTGTCGGGGCACAGACACCGAGAGGGTGGCACGTGTACCCAACTGTAAACACGAGTGGCTATATCACAGCCGGCCACCCGTGTCCGGCCGCGTGCTAGCTGCCCACACACTCAACATTCCACAGGCATATCGTATACGGCCTCCTGCTGATAAAAAAACGGCAGACCGGTAACCGGTTACCCTGATTCAATGAGCGCCGGCATTAAATGCCATTTTTCGGATGGTGGGTTTTTGACTTACGATGGCCGAGCGATGCCTGGTATGTGGTTGAATTAATGGCATGCATGCTCAGTTTTCCGTTTTAATTCTTTGCCGGCCATTGGCAACACATGATTTTATCTGCGATTGAAGCGTCATTCCTGCTATGCTGGCAAGTGGTGGATATGAGCTGATCTGGCCTGTGATTGTGTCAGCAAGTCGTTACTGGGTTCAATATTTCGTGCAGACAATATTCGACTTTATCCGTGTAGCCCTTATCTGGCTATATTTGGACTAGCTCGGCACGATTCTATAATTCTAATGTGTATCACAGCGGCCTTGTGCAACATGATCTCATTTATCTATCGACAATGCATGCACCCACTGGAGCTCCATATATACTTATTATGCAACGGAGCGAGTGCAATAAAGGTCGGAGCCTCTACTGCACGTCTTCCAATGATTGCCGTTCGTGATGCACGTTATATATCCTTGATTCAGTACCTGCAACAGACCTGACCAGACCAGACTGTCGCGTCCCTGGCCCGACCGCGAAAACAACAAACACTGTGTTTATGTGTGGGCGGCGGATCCGGCCGGGCCGAGCTTAGCCTGTCGCTCTGAGAGCTTGACAGATGCTGGGTCCGGGACTGGGCTGGTGGCAGTGGGTGGCTGAGGGTGCTGGGTGGCTTCCACTGCGTCACGGATAGAGCGCCGTCTGCCGGCTGTCTGTCTGTCTGTCTGTCTGTCTGTCTGTCTGTCTGTCTGTCTGTCGGTTTGTCGGCTTCTTGTGTTTGTGTGTGCCTCTAACGCTTTTGTTGTTTGTGCAACACTCGTTTTTGCTTATTTGTAAACTCTCATCTCTCGTTTTGACCGTGGGCTATTGTGCTGAATTTGTTGATTGATTGTCGGCCCAAACAGATGTAGAGTCAACAACGCCCCTGGTTAGCGGTCATCCGAACCAAACCAATCACCGTGTTCCCTGTCGGTGCGAACTGATGACCGGGCCTCCGCGCTGGCCCCATGGAAGTCACGAACCACGCCGAGACCTTTCGGTCCTCACACTCTGTTCATGCCTCCCCATGGTTCACGGTGACCCACCGGGAGAGAGGGTGTGAGTGGAGAGAGCGGGGCGCGCGGAGCTGCGGCAGCTCGGTCTGCCGTCTGCCGGCGGGCTGCGCCGGGACCTTGGGCGGCGGCGCGGCGCGGCGCCGGCCGTCTGCCGGGCGAGGGCGGTGCCTCCGCGCCGGTCGGCCGGTCAGTCGGGCGCCGCGCTGCGTCGAGGCGCCTGCGTCCAACCGCTCCGCTGGCACGAACACTGTGGTGTACCGAGAGTTCGTGTGTTTGTGGCGAAGCAGTGAGGTGGTAGTGTGAGCTACTGATACTGGCCGACAGAGGTTGGCTGGAGGAGGACCTCGGCGGCCCAGAGCTGGCTTCTGTGAGTCAGAGTGCGAAGTCGCTTCGGTTTTGACCACGTGGTTTGTAGTTCGGCCAACGTTTGGTATTTATTAAATCAAATGTTTGGATTTTCTCTCGTATTCAAAATTCTTTTGCATATCCTCTTCTTTCTGTTCTGCTTGTGTGAAGCTTTGTGCTCTCGGTCTGGTGATTCTTCAATGCAACATTTCTGACTTAACCGGCATGTCTCCATGTTGTTATTGTACGCCAGTCAACCTCAGGTTTTGACATTACTATTATGCATTGTTGCGGCACGGTGCTGAGAGCTGTCGTGGTCAAACGGCAGTGTTGTTTTTGGTCGGCCGCCTGTGATCCATTACAGAAGCCGGGGACACTGCACCCGGACGAGCGCAAGTCCGTGATAGATTATCGCACGAACAACAAAAAAAAAAAAAACGGATTCGTGAAATTCCTCAGTCGTGTTGGGTCGAGGCGAGGCGAGGTAGAGCGAGAGTGAGAGGTTTCGCTATTATTTCGGGCGCCGGCTCGTGACAGAAACACAATCACGATAATGATTAATCGTCTTGGCCGCAATTGGCGATAAGGAGATACATGAACAAGATAAAGTGTCTGAGTAGATATTTCTCGGACACACTGTTTATTTCCATTGTTTTCGCTGATTTTCTGAAGCAATGGGCTTAGACATTCCGTTTTCTGATTATGAAATGGTTTATTTATTAAACGCAGTTGCATAACTTATTGCTTATTGACAGGGCTCGTATGTAAGAATTTTGATTTAAAAGAATTGTCGTGCGGCTGCTTTTAAAACACCTTTTTAAAGATATATCTTACCTACTGTATCGGTGTTTGAACAATTTCCGCTCGTCGTCAACTGCATGAACAACTGTTTGCTCACCATATGCTACACGAGTGTCATGTTTTATTTTTCGTTTTCTCCGCCATGCCCCAAGTCTATTGTTAGTCGGTGATTATCCCCACTATCCAGGACGGTATAGAACTCCCGGCGAAACTGACCACGTGACCCGCGTGGTCGGCCCTCACCGCTTTTGGTTGACCTCTGTGACCTGTGTCTGCCGCAGGCGGCCGGCAGAGGAGGCGAGCAGCGGTCGCCCACCGACGTCCCCGACCCCGAGGTCAGTCAGAGGACGGGATAGGGCGGGGAGAGACGGGATGTGATGGAATGGGATGGGATTAGACGAGACGGGTCGGGTCGGGACGGGTTAGGTCAAGTCGAGTTGGGTGGAGTTGGATCTAGTAAGGGTTTGGTCGATTTGGTGTGAGACTTGAAAAATCAGGTCAGGTCGGAAACAAACGGCACGGATCAAAACTAAGTCGTGCGGGTAATGCGCTCGCGTTTGCGCGCTGAAGTGGTTCCAGGGAATGTCAAAACGTCAACCCTGGGAATCAATACACCACCAGTCCACCAGTGCCGGCGCTGCTGACCACGGGTCGTACAAGCCACCCTCCCCTTCATTGAGAAGCAGCTCGGGCGCCGTTGCTCTTTGAAGCCCTCTCAGACTTCCCATTCATTCTGTCGGGCTGTTACTTCTGGCCGGTAGCCCGGTCCGCGCCCTAACCTTCCCCTCCCCCTCCCTACCACCCCGACTCGTCTGAGTCGGGACGCAGTGCGTCGGCCTCGACTCTCGCCACAGACCGCGTGACTGTCTCTGAATGGGTGGGCTGCCAGCGGCTTGGGGCGCTGACCGGCCGGCCCTCGGGCGCCGAACGGTCAGGTGTGGTGTGGTGCGGGACTAAGCGCCGGCGGACAGCCTTTAGTGGCGGTATGGAGTGTGTTTGGGCTTTGAGCGCTGTGCCTTAGCGGTATAGCTGTGCTGTGCTGTGTTGGACGTTTCATCAGCACTGTCCAGTGTCCAAATAACTCTTGGGAGTTGCCCGCTCTGGGGATGAGCACGGTAGGTGGGCGGACGAATATGCTATGGGTGAACGCACGTAGAGGTGTGGCTGTTGGTTCAGCGACGACCGCTCCTCTCTAATGACCTCGCCGACGGACACGAACGTGTTTGCGATGCTGACTGGCCAGAATCTGTTTGATCTTTCCACAAAAGAATGCGGAGATGGCACATGTATCGAGTCATCTGTCTCTGTTGGTTTTGTCCTCTCATATATTGAACTCTGCCTCCTTTGGGGATTTTCTTTGGTCATGGTCTAATCCATAGGCCTAGCAAGCCTTTACGGTAGGCATTGTTTAGACAAGTGTGTGCGTCCAAATGCGCATGCCTTTTCTTTGAAATTGTTTCTTTGAAATTGCCATATGTTTACAAATCACGGACAAGGACACACAATACACATTGCATGGTTCGTCGGTACTTCACTATCTTTGAAGGGATCGCTGCATCTGAATAGTCGGTTTTGACCATGGTTCGTTGTCCCAGTTTCATTGAGCGAATCCAGCTGTGAAGGTAATGTGCTGGAGCCTGAAGAGTGCAGGGGAGCGTTGAGTGCTTCATTTCGTCACTGTGCTCGCTAGTCTTGTTGCAGGCCATTGCTGGCCACCAAGCTACGTCAAAAGGCAGTAACAATACTGATGTAGAGTGCATACCGACCTCTGCCTACTAAGACGTATTCCGCGGCAGTATGTGTGCTGGACTACCACTCAGCAGCGAAAGTGTACATACATCACAAGTATCTTAGATTCAGCCAGGTTTCCACTGGTGTCCACGGGTTATCAGTGGAAACTGGGGGGAGGGTCATCATAGATCATCCGATGATATGGATTATCCACGTTGCTGTTTTGACTATTAGAAAGCCCGGTCGATTTCTTGAGTCGAGTGTTTGGGAGCCATTGAACGGCGAATGCCCTCTTCAAGATACTTCGCACCAGACTTGTGCCGGGACCAAAAATCAAGATCCAGGATCCTCAAGGTCCCACGGCAAATTCAATTTTTAGAATCCAAGGTTTCCAAGGTCCAACGGCAAATTCAATTTCTAGAATCCAAGGTTTCCAAGGTCCCACGGCAAATTCAATTTCTAGAATCAAGGTTTCCAAGGTCCCACGGCAAATTCAATTTCTAGAATCCAAGGTTTCCAAGGTCCCACGGCAAATTCAATTTCTAGAATCCAAGGTTTCCAAGGTCCCATAGCAAGTATACTTTGCAGGGTCCACAGTCCCCAAGGTCCCACGACAAGAATGCATTGCAGGATCCACAGTCCCCAAGGTCCCACAACAAGAATGCATTGCAGGATCCACAGTCCCTAGGGTCACACGAAAAGTGTGAATTTCAGGATCCACAGTCCCCAAGGTCCCATGACAAGTACACACTTCAGAGTTCAGGGTCCACAGTCCTCAAGGTCCCACGACAAGAATACATCTCAGGATCCAAAGTATTCAGGGTCCCACAACAAGAACTTAAACAAACTAACATTCTGATGAGCAGACTTACTTCTAAATATTCTGCCAACGGATGCCCAGCAACATTGAAAGGGGCAGAACCTATGCAAACCTGTGGACTGTGGTGGTTTTATCGTTAACCAACATAGGTAGGGGGAGCTTCAACACAAGTTAAAAATGAATCATAATATCAATCTCTCCTTCTTTAACCTGACAAATTCATAAAAATATAGGTAGGTAATAGGTACCTTGCAATTTGTATTGTCGTGTCCCTTTCAATTCAATCTTACCTTATCAGTAGGAATGTAGGATAGCACCTCACAGTTATTGAAGACAGACATTCAAGTATTCTTTCAGGCAATATAAAAAACCAGAAATAAAACCTACAGGCTTCATAGAAATGGAAAAGTTGAATTGGATAGGTATATGCTTTCGATTTTCTGCACATTCAGTTACATAATACCTTGGATAAAAAGTAAAATATGTTCTAAGTCTTGTTTGCGCGAGCGCTCACAGAAAAACTGAACGACTAAGCCAATAGAATTAGAGTACCTATCAGCGAGCGCAAACCTTACTTACTGTTCATTCACATTAGATTGAAGGCTCTGAACAAAATTCCATCTGACAATTTTTTCGTCAGCCGGTTATTCGTCGGCAGATTTTCGTCTGACTTTTTCGTCTTGCATTTTTTCGTCTGTTCGAATTAATTTGGTGCATTTTCGTCTGAGTATTTTTCTGTCCGGCATTTTTTCGTCTGGACGAGGCGGAAAATGTCCTTATGAAAATAATGCGCGGACTTAAAAATGCACAGACGAACAAATGCATAGACGAAAGTCTGCGGACGAAAATCTGCAGACGAAAAATTGTCCGACGAAAACCTGCTAAACGAAAAAGTTGAACTGTCATGGAATCATTGCTTATATTGCTCATTGCTCAATGGTGATTTGATGAATTGCAAAACAAATAAGTTTGACACTTACTTGGTCAGTGGGTAGCTTCCAAGTAGCTTCAAGCCCGGCATATCACAACCCAGAAAATATGTGAGGTGAGATTAGAAAAGAACTCTCCAAACCACCACTGTCCACTGTTTGACAGTTTCATAATCCATAACATTGATAATGTAAAAAGCTACCAGGTCTCTTGTTCCAGTTCTGCCTCACAGCCATGGCAACGATTTTGCTCTATATATGTCTACACAGTCTGGTTCGTTTTCTCTTCGTGTAGCTATCTAGCCCCTTGCAGCTGGTCGCTCAACCATAGATATTTATTGAAGTGCCTACAGACAAAACCTAGTGCAGGGTCCTTAGTGGCCCATGTGCAACATAAACCTCATGGTCCAGCTTCCAGGATTCTTGAGGTCCCTCAACAAAATGATGGTGTAGGTCCAGACCGTTCTCCTAAGATCCCATGACAAATAATAAAACTGGTACTGAAGGTCTGCATTCTGCAGGGTCTTGCAGCATACCAAAATTTTGAGGTCCTAACCCCTGGGTTTCCATGGTTTTACGGCATATGAAATGTTGAGGTCCTGGGTTTCTAAGGTCTCATGTCACATGAAATGTTGATGTCCTGGGATTCCAAGGTCTCACGGCATATGCAAATGTTGAGGTCCTGGGATTCCAAGGTCTCGCGACATATGCAAATGTTGAGGTCCTGGGATTCCAAGGTCTCGCGGCATATGGATGTTTTAAGGTCCTGGGATTCCAAGGTCTCGCGGCATATGGATGTTTTAAGGTCCTGGGTTTCCAAGGTCTCGCGACAAAAATGACAATACAAGGTCCAGGATCCTTCAAGGTCCCAGACCTTGGACTCTGCGAACCCTGGATCTCGGATCTTTTTGGGACCTTGGCACAAGTCTGCTTCGCACTTGAGTGTTCGGCCCGCCCTCCGCCTTTCCGCTGCACCGGTAATCCACTGTATCCTGTGCCGGCCTATCGGAGCGGGCCTCCCCAGCCAGGGTGCTATCTGTGTGGTCTGGTGACTATCGTAAGCCACCGCCGCGGCCCCTCCCTGATGTGTGTCATACATGGGAACGGTGACGGCACAGGTCCCTCTGCTGGTGTCGCCGCAGCGTACTTGGCTCCGTCAGCTGCTCAGACTAGCTGCTCAAACCCGCTGCTCAGACTGGCTGCTCAAACCAGCTGCTCAGACCGCGTCCGGTCCCTCTCCTGCAGGGCGGCGATGAGAGGGAGACGCTCTCCCATCCCTGCCCCTGGCCCAGACCCTCTGTAACGGTCCTCTCTGGCGATAGGTGACGGAATCAGGCCAGGGTCGCGCTCGGGACCGTCGCCGGTCGAACAGACCTTTCCCGTGACCTTTCCCCCTAGTAAATGATGAAGCGCGTACCCAGGCGGAGTATTTATCGTTAGGGTTCAGCGATCTGCGTGGCTGTGGTGTCGTGAACCGTGAACTGCCGACCGCTGGCGTCTGGGTAGAGGGGTCTGTTTATTCATTTCGCTCTCGACACGGTAAATATTTTTCACTTGCTGTTCTTAGAACTAACCAGACCTGACCTTGACTGATGTCACGTGCCTCATGCTCGTTGGCATTAAACCAGCGTTGCCGCTCCCTCATTCAACTCAAAACAGTTCGTCTCTGGTTTGTATATTCACTATCACCGGTGATTTATGAATCTCCATTCCCAATTATTGGTTGTCTTCTGACCTTGGTCATATCTCTGGGAGCGCCTCCGGGTCGCGTCGGTTCGTCCCGTGGCTCCCTTCACCACGTGGTGTGGTTGGGCGGTGTGCCAAGCCGCTCCCCGGCCCGGGGGAGAGGTCCGTTGGCTGTTCTCTCTCTCTCTCT